GAAAATGGTGCCAGGATGACACCGAAACGTCGTTGCTCAGTTTTTTCGCTAATCTTTATTGTTAACTGTATTTCCAAATTTAATCTTATAAGAATTTTATGTTTAAGCGTTGTAATTTATCTTGTGTCAGTAATCAAGTTTTTAGTTTATCGGCTGATATAGTGGTTTTTCTTTGTAAACAGGGCGTTGAGCCAAAACAAGGCAGATCAAGGTCCAAGAGCAGAGACACATCTCAACCATCCCCTATTGGACAGCAAAGCCCCAGTATCGACTGGCAACCACCTAAAGGGAAGCAAACAAAACCACGGCAGAGAAAACCCAAGAAGTCAGAATCGAAAGCCAAGGATTCAGAGCTTGAACTTCAACAGCAGATGCTTCAACAACAGCTGTATCAGCAGATGGAGCAGAGGCATCGCTTGATGCAGCAGAAGCAGGGTCTTTTTGTGGAACATGGCCAACAGCCGGCTCCACAGCCAACAATGCCGTTACAGCAACCGGGTCAACAACCTCCAGTGTCATTACAGCAGCATATGGTTGAGAACCCTGCATTGTTGGCACAACCAGCCATTGATGTTCCTCATACAGTGCGACCTTTGTCTCATACTCCAGACCTTTCACAAATGGCATTGCCTCCCTGCACACAAGGCTCGCAGATGGCCCTTCCTCCTGCTAATCAAATACCTCCAGGATATCTCCAAACGTCAGATAAAGGGTCGTTTTCCCAGAGGTTTCCTACACCTGAGCATTATCTTCAACAATTCAGCCAGCAGCAGACGCATCAGAGGAAACCACAGGTTCATTATGTCGCTGAAGCAAACAACCCTTTCAGTGATCAGTTCCAAGAGCTTCAGAGCAAAGGCAGAGGAAGAGGAGGGGCAAAGAAAAAGCCTGGCCCCAAGAAGCCGGGAAAACCGCGCGGGAAGAAGGCAGCTGAAGTAGCAGCTTCACAGGGTGATTCTTTGAAGCAGGAACGCCAAACTAATCCTACTGTACCTGAACAAAGTCCACAGTGGCTTGTTCCCACTCCATCACAGCTAACACAAGCTATAAAGCAAGAGAACCCTGAATTCGAGGATGGTGCTCTTGAAATGCCAAAAGTTCAACCAAGTGCAGTGCATGCTGATCCTCATGATTCTGTCCCAAACGTAAGTCTTGAAGAAAGCCAGGAAAAAGATGGTGCTTTTGTACAGGAGGTCAAAGCAGCGGAAGACATACCATCAGAACAATACACGGAAGCTTGCTCTATTGTAGCCACCAGTGAGAGTAATACTAGCCATGTGTCAGCCACTGGCGATGATGCATTAAAGGGGACAAACGTGACCAATAAAGAGAGCACACCATCAGGTGATACTCCAGCTCCTGCAGAAGAGGGTGCTAATGAGTCTGTTAACAAAAGTGCAAGGTCATGTAATGGCACTGGACTTGAAGCGCTACAGAAGCTCGAGTCTATGGTCGCAGACATGGCAAATGAGGAAGAGGCTTGCAAAGAGCTCGAGAAGCAAAGTGAATTGGAAAGGTGGCCTCTTGATGATGATGAATACGACCCTGAAATGGAAAAAATGTATGAAGGAGATTTTATGGAAGAGACACCGTTTGAGCGGAGCTTACTCTCACCTGCCAAAGCTATGGGCAATGGCTCTCAAGCTAACTCTGTGGCCTCTCTTGAATGCCATGAAGAGAGTCTTATTTCTCCCCTGCTTGACGAAACGGAACGGCGAAAAGAACGTCAGAAGTTCTTTGCAGAAGCTTCGTCCAATGATTCAGTTTCAATGGAAAAGAACGCTCCAGATGAGACCAGGAACGAGTCAGGGAGTAAACAACAGGGCGAAGGAGTGATGTCATGTAATCTGTCTGATCGAAGTGATGTTACGCCGTGTGATCTAACGAACCAAAGTGGCGATGAGAGGGTTGGGCAGATTATAAGCAGTGCTGAACTTGCATCTGATCAAACTACGTCTGTTGAAGAAGCTATAAAGGACCCATTAACAGACTGCACGGAAGATCAAGGACTGGAAAGTCAATCCGACATAACAGATCTTAATCAGGCAAGTCAAGTGGAAACTAGTGCTCAAAATGCTCCCCAAGAAAAAGACCCATGTCACGATTCACTTGCCAGTCAAATGTGTGAGAATGCTGTCAGTGCATTAACTCAGTCTAAATGCGAGTCATCGGAAAATGTAATCCCTCCTGTCATAACTGCGAATGTTGTAGCTGAAGTGGACGAGGCGAGAATAGTTTCTACTGGTAACGGTGACATTCCTTTAGCTCCAGAAGCCCACCAAACACCTGAAGCAGAGAAATTCGAAAGCAGTGCGCCTGGAAGTGTCTGTGAAGCAATCCCCCAGTGTGATGCAGCAAATGTAACAAGTTCGATTGCGCCAGAAGCAGTGCAGGATACTATTGGTCAGATTCCCAAACCATTGAAGCAGTTCCATAGTAGCCATGAACCTATTCCATCAAACCCCATTCGTCCTGCTCAGCGTCAGAAACCTGCTAAAGCACCAAAGGCACCAAGTCGACCTAAAAACCAGCACAGTTCTGGAGAAGGATCGGTAAAGAAGAGGCCATCTCCTAAGGAGGAAGACCCACTGAAGAAACAGGTTCAGGAGCTCCGCAGGCAGGAATACGAGCGAAAGAAACGTGAATACGAGGAGCAGCAAAAGAAAAAACGTGAGCTTCAGAAAGAACTTCGCATCCAAAAACAGATGATCAGGGAGCAGAGGAAGCGGCAAAAGATCTACATGAACGCGAACAACCGCAAGCAGAAAACGAATTCCGGGAGTAGTGCAGCTTCTTTGAAGCTTTCTACTCCTAACAACACACACAGGGACCTCAAGCCGGCCACTCCTCTTTCTCTTTGCGAGCCCAAGCTGTTGTTGACTCTCGCATTGACACATCCATATGGAAGCAGGCCTTCCAATGGTCAATGTCTTCTGAAAGGGAACTTTGGTTCAGCCAAAGTTGATGGCATGGTGGATTATTATTCACAGTTCCCATCACCGGACATGGATATTGTGGTAGGACATCCACCCACTCCACCTTCGTCTCTCCCACCCTCACCAAGGGTTCACCAACAGCAGAATGACTCGTCTGGAAAACCTCTTGTTAATGGCGACGTTTCGCCTGAGGAGCGGCAGCATGATGAACTACTTGCCATGATCAAACCACATGCACATGGTCAGGACAGTGAACATCCAGCAAAACGAGCTCGGTACATAAGCACTCTGGAGTCTAGTAGAAGTGGTATTAGTGTTCCGCCATCGATGCCCACACCACCATTATCGGATTCGGCGGCGACTGTTAACGATCGATTGGTTGAAATGATATCTTCTGCAAAACATCTGTCGAACGCGCACATGGAAAGAAATGGCAAAGAGTCGAATAGTAGCTCTTCGTCGACATCACCCGAGACAGTTCAGTATATAGCATCTTCATCTCCAGAATCGGACGCTGTCAACAGAGTACAAACTCCTAAATTTTCCGCGTTGTTACATCGTGATAGCACAGACTCTCCAACATTTCCAGCAGTGACAATCAAACGCGAGCAGGTGGAACACTTCCTGGACAACGGAGTTCCTCGATCTTGTAGCCAATCATGTCGTGATGTTTCTGATACTAATTACGTACAGACTACTTGCAAATTAGAGGCACTTCAAACAACTAGAATTGAGAACGATTCGGATGATTTGGATAGCATTAACGTTACACTAACTCTGTCTCCTACATCTGAGCAAAGAGTTACAGACACTGTAGCATCCGTGGCAGATTTGATAGGCTGTTCTCCTCCCAGGCGATCGGACATTGTTATCGAGCCTGCTGGGAAAGGTTTTTCTACGAAGGGTTTCATGATGCCTCAGTCGCTGGCGACTCCAACTGGAGACAGTCTTAGTAGCTCAGTGGCTCCAAGGCCCCACACTTCATCGGATATTTATCAGAAAAACCCCTTCCCTTGTTCGAAATTAGATCTGTCACCAAGCGAGGAAACGTCATCCCGGAAAAAGCCCGAGGGTCCGTACTGCAGGCACTGTGACGTTTTAATAATAGGAATCGGGGTAAAGCGAAAGCAGGACGAAGAAGACACAGTTAAGACTGCAGTGACAGTTGATTCAAATCGAGCAGAGTCTGATGCCGCGGACTATAAAATCTATGGAGTGAACGTTGAGGCAGGGGACTGTACAGGGGACATTTTTTGTGCGGAAGCTTGCTTGAAACAATATTTCGCGCATTTGGGTTCCGAGTGTTCATCGCCCACACAGGAATGTAAATCAGGGTCAATTGCTGAAGAGCCTCGTTTAGATGCGAGTGTGACGTCAGTGGGTCAGACAAGCGTTGGAGCGGGGAATGCGACGTCACTGAGTGCAGTTGATACTCGGGGAGGTGTCGTCGCTGAAGGCTTATCGCCGACATCTTTACGCAAAATAAGAAGTCCCAGCCGGAAGCAAGAAGACGAAGATGAAGAGGTTAGAGAATGTTACTATCTGTAAGGAAGTGTTGGGTTAAAAACAAACGGCAGATTGTAATTCTCCCATTCAAGCCTCGTAGTAGCGGGTTGGGGTTTGTTGTGCTGGGGATGTAAACAACATCAGTCAGGATACCCCATCTCTTTTCTATCGTCTATTTTTTTTTTCACACTCGTTTCGTGTGTTCCTTCTGAAGGAAAATTTACAGCGGAATCTGCTGGGTAGACAGAATAATTCGGATCTGCACATTTTTCTGTAACTTTAAAGAATAAACTCGGTTTAAAGATTTGTACAAGTTGATGACTGTATGTATTCGGTCAGGCCCTTGTTGGTCAAAGGATAATGCTACCAACAGGAGAAATCACTACCCACTGGATGACCAGTTTGTTTTGGTAGCACTCATCCAGTGGTTTGTGATTTATTCGAAGGACAGCGTCGTCTTCCCTCTCGGCGACTGACTCCCAGTAACGTTACTACTTTAGCTCAAGAACTTGTGATGAATGTTTCGTAACGTAACACATGTCTTTATAGACAAAGAATTGCAAACGCCAGCGTCGATTGCGATGGAAGAGGTGGCAACAGAGCGAAGCAGCAAAGGGTGACAACAAACAGAGAGTCGAGCTAACACCTGAGGAGATCGCTGAGGTACGTATAGCTACTAACGGAATTAGACCCACTACGTGTGGACCCAAGCATGTGAGGAAGCTCTCTTAGAAAAACAAGGGTGGAGTGGAGAGAAGCCACTGCTAAACTTACTCGGACCCGAATGATCTGGATGTTTGTTTATTTTCAGCTTCTGGAGAAACACAACGGAGCATTGAAGCCGTCTTCCCATGTGGCGGATGATAAGAGGTTATGTACTTTGTGTGGAGGGACAGGAGACGGAGAGAACAATGCATCAGCTCGGTAAGAACGTGTTCTCACGGTCTTTTGTCTCACTTAGACTCCAACACGCAAATGAAAACTTCTTATCGCTTTTACTATTATCTTATTCTTTAGCCTGTTGAATCTGGATGTGGATGTGTGGGTTCACCTCAACTGTGCACTGTGGTCACTGGAAGTCTACGAAACCTTGAACGGTGCGTTAATGAACGTGGATGTTGCGGTGAAGCGAGGAACTATCACGGTGAGTCGGTGTGGTTCTCTGTCGACGTAACGGAAATGCAGAATGGGTATAGAACTGTAACAGTGGGAGTTACTCCTTGTTGTTCAAACTGTTCGCTGCCTCTCTATTTTTCAACGCACGAGAAAGAAAAAGCGAGCGCGATCCCACCCTCCCCGTCAATTATCCCGTGTTGCACTGACGTCCAGTTCTCTCGCGATTCTATACGAGCGTTCAACGATCGAATAAAATACGAGAAAATAGGACTTTGTGAATAGTCTCTGTTGGATTTGAGGTTTCTATTTTTTTGGTGCTTTTCTGATATTATTTTGGAGTGTGCCTGTTAATTTCCGTGGCGGAGTGGTGCCGTGTTAAAAGGACTCCTCCAGAATGATTCACTGCTGGGAATTTAAGTGGGTAATACTGATAACGTGTTTGTCATATCAACAGAACTGTGTTGTGTGCTTGAAGAGGGGCGCTACTGTGACTTGTAACCAGAAGATTGGCTTGTCTAAGATCGGTTGTCCCAACAATTTCCACTTCAGCTGCGCCATCTCTCACGGATGTGTGTTCCTCAAAGACAAGGTAAGAAGCTGAACAAAGCCATGAACTGCTAAGGGGTAGCGAGATTATGAAGATCAATAGGGTTTTCTTTGAAGCCTCTCTTAACGTTTTGGTGTCGTTATAGTTTTACATACTGTCGCGAGTTTCAAGAAGCACATCTCCGAAAATGAAAACCAGTTGCATTATTGGCGGCATGTTCCGTTTGTCCCAACAATTTGCTGCGTGTTATTGGTTCAAACCAAACGGTAAAAAAAGAAAATAAATAAGTAAACAAACAAATAAATAAATAAATGGATAAATAAATAGATAGATAAATAAATAATGATAATAAAACAACCTACCTGCACCCAAACACCACATCGAAAACTCTGCTATGAATTTGACGATGAATGTAAACACGTTGATTTGTTTGTTATCAGACGGTTCTCTGTCGAGAACACAGACCGGACACTCCCATGCTGAGAGATCTGGTGCTGTCCTCTTACGCTGTATACAGGAAAGTGTACGTCAACAGGGACGAGATTCAGCAGATTGCAAGGTGAGCTTGTCATCCGTCTCGTCTCAACAATTTGTATTCTCAGAATTTCCAGCCGCAACGCCCTCTCGAATAAAATTCTCGTCTTTCGTTGTCAATCGAGATTTAGTTGCTATTTCTTCCAAACTCGGCCGAACCCACACTTATTGTTCTGCGTTTTTCCTGTACCGTGATAAGTTGGTGTGACGGAAAGTTCTTGTATTGTATTCTGATGGCTCCTTGATTCTTCTGATACCTTGCGTCCCTTCTTGACTGGCTCTGTGTTATTTTTTCCCTCCAGTATGTTACGTCACAATCAGGAGACCAATGACAAACCTCAGACGTTGCGAGTGGGCAGCCTGGTGGTGAGATCACTGGGACAGCTTTTGCCTCATCAGCTGCAGTCTTTCCACACCAGAGACGCCGTGTACCCGGTCAGTGGTAGTTGTTTATCGCCATGCGTTTCAGTATTTCTGTCTTAACCCCTTTAAAAGTGCCTTTGTTGAAGTTTCGCAAATAAGCCTCAACAAACCTTGTCTTGTAATAGCGACATTAGTCTTTCGTCAGGTTCGCTTGTGAAATAATTTAACAAATGACAGTACAACACAGCCATAGAGACTGTTTTGGCAGATAACACTTTACTACGCGTCACTTGACACGATCGGCGGGGGTAAACTTGTTCTGGAAAATTGCGTGGTGTTTGAGTTTGTTGTATAAGCTATTAATTTGTAAATTTACTTTATGATCGCGTTAAACTTACGCCAAGACTTGTTGCTTTTGTCGGTAGTCGGTGTATTGACATGCTCTTCAATCGTTCTCTCCACTATAGGTGGGCTTCAAAACAATACGTTTCTACTGGAGCATGCACTCTGTGAATCGCCGCTGTAAATATTACTGTGACGTTGAAGACGCCGAAGGAACTCCGAGTTTTACCATCAGAGTGGATGACGAAGAACATAAAGAACAACTTGTTTTCAGGGGGAAATCACCAAGAGGTATAAATTCTAAGGGTGGAAACGCAGCCCCTTGTTATCGCAAGTCCATACGCCTCACTAACCGCTCGCAACGAGCGAGTTGGTGTGTTAAGCGAAGCTGAGTTGTTTTTATAATAGCCTTTTTGCACGCTTACAAAGTACATGCCTAACTTACCTGCAAACGTTTTCTTCCCACCACTTTTGAGGCACATATATGCTCGTTCGCTTTGCGATATACCGTGACATTAAGGCATCCATTTGGTGGAGTTTTTTGCTCATTTACAAACTGACGATATACCAAGATAGTTACATGTACTGCAAGAATCCCTTCGTGATATAGAGTTCATGTTAATAACAAGGAGATGCTGTGTCGGGAAGGTGGACTTCCTGTATCAGTTGACTGTCCTGTGGTACTATATTCAACTGGGTGTTGTTGCAATGGTTTTTGAGTAATGACCTTTTTGGCGGTGTTTTTGTCTTTTCGGCAGATGTCTGGCAGCAGATTCTTGTTCCCATTTTGAGAATGCGGAAAGAGGCGGGTCTCGTTAACTTGTTTCCACAATACATCACTGGAGAGGTGAGCGAGTTACACAACATGTTAACTGCAATCCTTTTTTTTTTCGCGTAAAGCAGTATGAGTTAAGTCCGGTCTTCTTCTGCTTCCAAAGCTGACTTTCTTTCCTTTTTTAGGATTTGTTTGGTTTATCTGAGCAATTTGTGCTGCGGATTATTGAGTCGGTAAGTGTGGGCTGATTTGCCTACTTGTTTGTTATGTTATTAGTTCAGTTATAAACCTCTTATGCTGCTAGTTTATCTAGCCGTTGATTTATGCCAAAAGTTGTCTATCTCCGGTATTTTATTCGCTATTCGCGGGCCAGTCCAACTGTAAAATGTAGATTTATAAAGAAATAAAATGATGATGATGATGATGCCTTTTATCGTAACACTGTTCGTGTTGTGCAGCGTTTGAGCCGTTTGTTTAATTGTTTTCAGATGCCCGGAGTGGACCAGATGCAGGGATATAACATGCGTTACGGCCCATCGCCCATCATGGAGCTGCCGCTGGCGGTAAACCCCACGGGCAGCGCGAGATCCGAGCCTTTACTCAAGACACACTTTAGGAGCGCCAGGTAATGTGATTCTTGCTATGACCGACACATAGAATTCAAGGGTGGTACACGCAAATACGCAAACTTGTTGGTCCCCGTGTGGGCACTTCAGACTTAAAGGAGTCTTTTCCGCTTACATCTGGATCTGGGTTAAGATTCAAATTCTCCCAAGTAGAAATACAAGAAATGACAGTTATCACGTTAAGGGGAATTTGTGCTTTAATCTGAAGGTTGGCGGGTTTGGTGGGTGGGTGCGTTTGCTGGGAGTAAGTGATATTCTTTAGTTCGAGTTACCATGTTATTCATTGTCTTAGTGTCCATGTGATTTGTCCACAGGGCACGCGCTCTTCGGTCTGCCACTAGTTCTGGGTCGGCCGTCTCCCCCGCGGCCACGGTTGGCGCAGGAAACTCGGACGAGTCATCTGGTCTTTACCTCAAGCAGTTTGTGTACTCCAAAGCTGCACAGTACCGCAAGCTTAAAATGGAGTGGAAAACAAACGTGTTCCTGGGAAGGTCGAACATTCAAGTAAGTTTTCTTATCTGATGCAGGAAATTTGACATTCGTACAGGCTTTTAGCTTGGCATTTATCTATATTTATTATATGGCTAGCTCGTTGAGTGGGCAAGACGAACAAAGTCTTGCGCTGTGATTGGCTACCCAAGCGGGCAAGATGACGCTATCTTGCCCTCTCGGGATTACGCGCGTTGTCCCGCAAGAAAAAACTTGTTTTTTATCCCACGCTCGGTCAAGATGGCTGAATGTTGGCCTAGTTCTATTTTGCGTGTTTTTGGACTTCAACTCCGTCTCGGCCCATAAACACTTGGTCAATATCCAGCCATCCTGACCTCACGCTTGGTCAATAACGAATATTTACAGAGGGAGTTGTGGTTTGAACGCTGAATTCAGATCCTTGACCACCCAGAATAATAGATTTTAAACATTTTCCCTTCTCCTTTCAGGGCTTAGGTCTGTTTGCTAACAAAGACATGGAAGCGGTAAGTTTTGTTACTTTTTGCTCTACCTTGTTGGTTGTTGCTGGCATGGTTGGTAGTTTTCTTTTTTGCTGGCATGGTTGGTATTTCTCTTTGTTCTGCAAGTCCTTTTCCGATATGAAGGTGCTAATGATGAATATTGTGTTGCTTGGGCATACAGGGGAGTATGGTGATCGAATATATCGGTTCCATTATCCGAAACGAAGTTGCAAACAGAAGAGAACAAATCTACGAGAAACAGGTAGGTTCATGGAGGATAGTTTTCGTTGCACTCGTGTGTTTCCGTTGCTTGTTTTTTCGCAGTTGGCGCGATTTTTTTGACCCCTTTACCTCGGGTGTTCACCTAGGACATGACGTAGGTCTTTTCTTCGTTAACACTATTCCCACGGTTACTATTTTTTGGGCCAAAAATGTTATTGCTATTCCCCAAGGAGAGTGTTATCTATGAGGAGAACTTTATAAGTCAGTCTTCAGCTTCGTCAACTTCATTTATTGCTCACTATTTACAAAGTTTACCTTAGCGAGTATTATAAAAATAGATAGAGAAATATTTGTTACATGTGGTTAGGGAAAGACTAAACAGATATGTGCGTGGTAACCATAGTAGCCACTGGTAATCGACCTTGGGCTTTAGCAGTGTTTTGTTTGTGTCTGTTGTAGAATCGCGGTGTGTACATGTTCAGAATAGACTCTGATGCTGTGATCGATGCAACAATGGCTGGGGGACCTGCGCGTTACATCAACCACTCGTGTATGGTAAGTCCTCGCCGTTAATTTATCGCAATCGTCTGCATCGTTGGAAAGAGATAAGGCGTCTTTTGTGTGCGCAGGTCACAAATTCAGGCGATATTATAATTTTTTTTTTTACTAACATTAACGGAACATTCTTAGTCGCAATACCTTTGTTACTGCATAGCATATTTTTACAAGTTCTCTCGAAATTTTGTTTATATCCTTGTAATGCTTGTCACGTCCGTTTGGGAAAATGTTAAATTGACAGGTGTAGAGAGGTTGCCAGCGGCAACCTAGATCCCCAGCTCTTTCACACGGCCGATTATTTCACCTTCTCTATATGATGCGTGTATATGATCTTTCATATGTTGACTTGTAATAGAAGTTGCCTTAGTATTTTAATGTGTTCTTTTTGTATTTTTCTTAGCCAAACTGTGTCGCTGAAGTAGTGACGTTCGAGAAGGAGCAAAAGATTATCATTATTTCAAACAGAAAGGTTGAAAAAGGAGAAGAGGTAAACATAATTCAACTGAACTAGGGACACTTGACGATATGCAGCTGTGAGTCGATGAAAGCTGCAATCAGAAAATTGTTTCATAGAAGAAATAAAGAAAAAAATTGCTTTATTTGTTACTATACTGTTATGGAAACACAAGTGTGAGTTTGGAAGAATTCGAAAGAGCCTGGAAATACTCGGCTGGTATTTCCGCAGCTCTCCTTGTTCTCCTTGACATGTGCTAGCGTTACCATGAGTTAATGGTGGTTTATTGAAAATGTATAATGCGGATAGCGTTTGCTATTTTTTAATTACGGCTCGAGAAAAACTGTTTTGTTGTAAACAACGTGACGACTTGACGAGCAACTATTTCAGACGTGTTTCAATTCATCTCGCATACGATACATGTTCAACCGCAGAGAAGTTTTTTCCTTGTTGGGTTTCCGTCATTTCGAGGTCAAACATGGTTGCCTGTCTTGTCATGGCTCGGAGCACGTACATGCACTAAGGCAGTTGTTCCCACCTGGCCGTAATTTGTTTTCTTCCCATGGTTCGAATAAATAATTTGCGAATGAACTCGTGTCATTTGGTTTGCAGAGTTCAACCATCAACATATTCCGCTGAAGTTAAATTTCTTTCTTTTGTTTTCTTTCGCGTCAAGTTCTTATTGAAATTTGTTCCTTGTTTTTCAGCTTACCTACGATTACAAGTTCGACTTTGAAGATGAGGAAAACAAGATTCCATGTCTCTGCGGCGCGCCCAATTGCCGCAAATGGATGAATTAAGACGAGGGAACATGGTGTTTCTCTCCGAAAATTATTTATCGTTATTTATTTAACGCATTTCCGTTCATGGAATGTTCTACAGTTTTTGGCCGGTACAAATCTAGAATTTTCTTACACATAAAGACAGCGAGGAATATTACATTGCATGGTGTATAATCAGTCAAGTTTTAGTTCGCTTTTTGCCCAGCTCCAATAGATAGCAGTTTCACACAGGAATAGCTACATTCAGTGAACATATTGAATTCGCTAGTGTTTTCTTTTGTAGTCCAGTATTATAATAATAGTTCCACAGAATGTCCAGAGTTTTTAAAAAATTTTACACGCTCCAAATGCGTGGCTCATCAAATGGTAGTGTACATAATACAGTATTGCCTGAAGTGAAGTTTTATTGAATATGGAGAAGAAGAAATAAATGCGCGAGACAGACCTATTTGCTTGTGAGTTTCAGCGCGTGTTTGTTTTTGTCTGTTTTTCTTTTCTTTTTTTTGATTTGTAACTTGCGAATGGTCAAGTTATTCGCTGATATATCTGTGTAGACTTGAAGGCTATCTTTTTTTAAGAAATACCAAGGAAACATAATTGACTCTTGTGTTTATACATATCACAACAATATCGGCGACAGAAAGGGGCTTCTTTTTTGCTCATTAATTGAAAGCGAGCCGCCTTTAAAAGAAAAAGAGAAAACTTGGCAACTACGGGGGTTCCGACTAGTTGGACAGAAAATAAGTGCTCTGAAATATTATTGAAGTAGTGATGGTGGTGTGAGCATCAGTGAATTTGCTTTAACCGGCTTCTTCCAAAGGCTGGTACGCAGTGTTATGGAATGATCGCGTGTGATGTTGAATCGAGCTTGTTATTTTGGCACTTCAGCTGGTCTGAGCGTTCAAGCGAATGCGCGCGGTTTAAACGCATTAGGTGCTTGCGTGCTCGAAGCATATCACTCCGCCTAATTTTCCGCAGCGAAGCACTTAACGAATGACGGAGATCGGTTAAGATAAGAGCTTCCACTTGCGATCGGCGTGCTTTGAAATCATCCCAGTTAACTATTCCTTTCGCGAAGGTCGAATGAAAAATAATTTATCGCCGTGGGCGAAATAACTTGCACACGCTCGCGATTTGGTGGTGTTAATAAATTCAGTTCAGCGAGAAGCAGTCGCTAATTATTTTCTTCATAGCGCGCACAAAACAAAAGCATGAAACAAAAGAAAGGAGGTGCTTAGCAAGAACTGGGAAAAAGCTATTGGTGCTCGACAGGTTAAGTAAGAATGAACATGGGAAAACGCGCGAAACATTGGGAAGATTTCTCTAGCTTTGACAGAGATCCTCTCTGGAAAGATGGACAGGTGTCGTTTTTGAAGTACAGCGATATTTGACGTTCCTTAGTTTCAGGGCGCCGTATTGACGAAGATGCATTTTGTTTAAGACAAGATGTCGCCGTACATCTTTTCCAATTATCTTGGACAAGCGATTGACAGACAGAAAAGCGAAGCTTTTTTGTCATGAAAGCCAAGGACCTCAATTATGTCTTAAGACATCTGATATGCGTGCACGGAATATAGAATATGTTAGACTCGGGTCTTAAAAATCACTTTTTCCATCTATTACCTGTTACGTAGAGATACATTTTCACTGTAATTGCAAATTGGGTTTGAGTTTTACGTTGGGCAAAATACATCATTGTGTTTGATTTGAAAAGCTATCTGCTTGTTTGAAATATCCTTGAAAATCCATCAAAAGACTCTTTTTGCAGCGTGGTTCACGGTAAATTTTAATTTCATTGTATTGTTTCGATTTTAATCTTTTACAAAACGTGGATATGGCGGACTGCATGAAATTTTTATGTCATCACTCGCGGACTTTTGTTTATACAATTGTACCACCTGCGCCAGCTCCGAAAACCGAAATAAAAAGTCATTTTTAGGCTCAGTTTACTGACTTTTCAATTCCATATAATGGTATCTGGCGGAAAGTGAAATTACATTAATTTTCCGGGGGAGGTGGCACTTTATAGAAAGGAGGACCTCAAATCTTAAATTGGCTAACGGAAAAATGACAGAGGAGATACAACGTATAGTTACCTGATAAATGAACCTTGGCTAAGAAGTTGGAGTGGGGTTAGAAATAACGGCCGTCGTCGATTAAGTCCTATGTTCCCTATAGTAAAACCGACGCTCGTAAAACCCTGGTCACAGTGGTGTGACTGACACCGTTGTTAACCTCCGGCATATGGTGGGCGGTAAACAGTTTGTTAACAAAAAATCGGAAAAAGTAAAATGCAGCAATAGAGATTATAAGAGCAGGTTTGACCAATAAACGGGGACGACAACCCTTGGTTGTGCGAACACGTCCCTTCACCTCTTTTCGCCAAGGTTGTGGCCTTTCAGAGACTCCTTTTGACTGTCCTTCATAAAAAGGTGCCATAAATTCCACAAATTCCAGTAAATGTTAAGCTTAACAAATTGAATTCATTATTTTAGGTTGTTGTTGTTGTTGTTGTCATCCTACGTGACATCGTGTTTTGCGCTTTTTTTATTCTGGTTCAGATTGTTGTTCTTTTGTTCCATTCAGGAAACGCCTTGTCAATCTACATTGTTTCTCTTCCACTTGGAAGGGGACAGCTAACACGGAACGCCTCTCGCGGAGGGGCACGCACTGCGTGAGCTCTGCCGCTGCGGAGTTACGTAACTTTCTAAAAATGTTTTCCTCTTCGCTTGATTACCTTGTTGGTTACCGAACAAGCCTCCTGGTTCAATTTTGTTTTGTTGTAGTCACGGAGGGAAAGTAATACAAAATTGACACTTACATTTGAAAATTTCGCAGCATTGCTTCCAGTTGAACAGTGTAAAGACATGCTATGTCTTTGCCATGCAATTTGTGTGGAGTATGTTTATCATATTTTCACGTATTTTCATCACTTAAGTTCTCTGCACTTCAAAAGACTGAGGGAAAACAGTGACACCGGGTCCAAGGTTGCGGAAAACTCTTAATAATTCACGTCAAAGCTTCCGTAGCTTGTGTGTTGTTTGTCCTTTTGTGTCAACAACAAGAAATCATTAAAGCAAGTGTTGTAGCGGGTTATCAGGCTTTACGTGTACTTGCATCATTCTACACTCCATCCCTCACTCCATCGGACGTTTAGGCTGCATTCCAAGGGCTTCCCTCAATGGCCAAGTTATGTGAAAACGGAAACAGGCACATCCGGTCTACGTGGCTGAAAATAAAACAATACGACAAAGGGAGACTGCTTGTCGAGTTCTTGGATAGCCATGGAGAGAAAAAGCCTCGATATTGATTTCGACCTTCCTTTTTTCGACTGTATGCCATATGCACCTTTACAATGAACTTCTTCTTATGTGATAAACCGCCGGCTTTTTGATTTGAGATACTGGATGATATTCGTGCCCAGCCGCCGGCGCCTGTCCCGTACAAACAAAAGCGAATGCACGCTAGCCAATTTAATGCTTTTGTATGCCTGAAAATTTCAACTTTGTAGAGCTGTTGTTTTGGCGAAGTAATAAAGTTCTCTGCCGGAACCCACCCTGCCCTCGAGCTCGCAAGACAAATTCTTAGTCCCCCACGGAGCGCGACGAAAATATGGCCGAAAGCAGACACTCAAATTCCAGACAGACAAACAAGACGGCCAGACGTTAGTATTCGGAACCATAATTGTACCTCCCAGAAAAGCGATTAGACGAGACAAATCTGACTTTTGAAATTTTCAGACTACACCTGGAGTGACGCATACGTGCAAGGAGGTCGCGTGACTAAGAGAGCACAGTACAACCGTGTTTTTAAACAACGCTATCAGAAGCTGCCTACAAAAACACGAACATCGCTTTTGTTGATATTTTACTTCATAATATATAGCCAACTTTGTTGCCCGATGCAAATGTGCAAGGCACACCTTAAAGAATAAACAAATGGGGACAGAAGAATTCCATATTTCTCATCGTTTTCAAATTAGATTTTAGCCCCGGTACAAATGAATTTTAGCTTCGAACTAACAGATGTAAATATTGGCCCCTAATGATCCAGAACTAATTGAGGCAAAAAATTTCCTTAATTTTTTTGACTCAAGATTAATAAAAAATAATAAAAAGTCCGATATTATATATGAAACATTTCCAATGGGCCATTTCTTTTCTCCGTCGCTTTTTAGCCGAGCTAAATTCATATTGCTTCAGCTCTCGCCAAGTCACACCGTCATTGTTATTCCGATAGCCTTCAAGACTTACGTTGATTAATATGGACGAAAAGAGAATGCGTGGGCGAAAAAAACACATGCTTTAAGAGTGCCAAATCACTTGGTTTTTGCTTCTTTTAAGGTGCCGAAACCAGAAGGGAGTGAAATTCAAAGCTTGCCAAAGCTTAGAGGGTAAAATTACCATTTTAATACGGCTTTCTCCGAGTGGAACACCCGTTAAGCTGGTTTCTTGTTTGCGAAAAAGAAAATTTGGTTTACAGTAATACGGGACGAATATCATTCGGTAAGCAAAGTAGTGGGAATCGAGGAACGTTTTTAAAAGTGCAATTTACCGGTTGAAGAGAACGTGGGTAACAAAGTCCGGAACCTTCTAATTCGTACGTGAAAAGCCGTGAAAACGTGTCACAACACAGTCGAACCGAGATGGCCCGTTTAGTCTAAGTAAATAACGGATTATTCTATTTGAACAAGTGCTCGGGAGAAACGTGTCTCTTGATAATATTTTCGTCCATTTTTTTTCGTGCCTCCAGCCTGAAAGTACCAAGACGAGAAAATACATTGTTTACAATCGCCTTTCAGTCAAAGTGATTGACAGGAACGCGTGTAAGGATTAATTGCTATCGTTTTCTGAGTGATGTGATTGGACAAGAGGCTTGCTGTGACATGACCATAGTGGATCGAATCTGAACTTGTTCTGCGCATATAGAGTTGTTTGGGAAGGAAGGTTCGTGGGATTTTGGCGGAGGGAACCTTCTTGAATTTTGAACTATCGACGATGAAATGAGGACTATCGAAGGACAGGGGAATGGAGAAAACCTTGGTGCAATCGGCTTCCCCGAAGAGAGGACCGAGCTCTGCCGATGCGAATTTAAGCATCGTGTTAAATCTTATGTGTCATACAACTTGCCATCGCCAAGGAGGCGAAACTGAGAAATTTGCAAAGAGAGCCATCGAATCGCTGGTGAAAAAACTTCGAAAGAAGTCTGAAGAGCTCGACTCACTGATCACCGCTATCACGACTAAAGGATCCAAGTCGTCAAAATGTGTTACGATTCAGAGAACTCTAGATGGCAGACTTCAAGTTTGTGAGCGCAAGGGCTTTCCGCATGTGATCTACGCTCGGTTGTGGCGATGGCCCGACATTCAAAAAATGGAGATGAAACATTTGGAGTTTTGCCGATACGGTTATGATTTGAAGTACGAGAGTGTTTGCGTCAATCCGTATCATTATGAGAGAATTCGCAGTCCAGCCGGTAAGGGTGAATTTTTTTTTCGTTTTTGAAGGTTGTGTGTTGGGTCAATTGTGTGATGTCATGTAGGGCAAGAGAGACCAAGAGAACGCACGCACAGTACATGAACGTACGTGATGACAAAACTCACACCAACGCTATGATATGTGACATTTGTTCAGTGCGCAGGGTACTTAACCTGCATAATCTTAGTTAATTCTAGCAAATCACCTAACCAGATATATTTTTTATGTTCGTTCTACCAGGGAAAATAAAACAGAACTTTTTCTGTAGCATCTCGATCGGGGGTAATATTTTTGTAATTCACTCAATGTTTCCTTCCGACATCTGATCGAATCATTCGACCGTATTGTCGTAATAGGATCATTCTGACCTTTGGAAAAGCTTACAGCTCTCCAACTTTTCGTCCGATTGCTTCTGCTTGAACATCGTGCGTTCATTCGGTTGTACATTATTCGCCTCGCGAATTCATTAGCGATAAACTTGTCAAAGAGCGAAATGCAAATTTCCTTGGGAGTGGGCTCGCCAGTGTTTTCCTCTAAGCTTGGCCATTGTTTGGATAACGAGCCAGCGGCTATTTTGCATTTTTAATTTCTAGTTGAAAGTCGCTTCGGTTTTTGGCCGATTTTTCGCGCGATTTTGCTGCGAACGCCAGCCAGACTCTGTCTCAGACGGCTTGAGCTCTGAATCACGCCAAATGACTGGCGATCGTTTCGTGTGGGGCAGGAGAATTATTTTGTCTGGGTTTTGTTTAAGTATTATTGTTGGTTAGTGGTCATTGTCTGGCTGGAACGTTTCTTGTCTGAAAACGTCTGAAATGTCGTCTGCTTTGGCTCTAATTTATTTTGGGACGTGAATTTATTTTTGTCTAAGGCCTTAGCGGGCGCGCGCGCTATTTGGAACCAATTTTTTAGCCAAAAAACACACTGAGAACAGTGAACGTGCTTCAGTCAAGGAGTAAACAGAATACCTAATTAGTATTCATGAATGCGTCATTTGAATATATTTTTATTTCAGTCTCTTTGGCTGTCTAGACGTTAGCGTGAAAATTACCGACAGTTCGCGATCAGTTTTGTAAGGGATTACATTCACGCCATGTTTACCAGCGAAAAGCACGCCATGCGTGTTCTCGGCCGAACAGATTTAGGAGCGCGGAATGCCTTTTGAAATTTAGAATGCCATTTCTGACAACGCTTATTGTTTGTAATTGTGTGTTTGACGTTTAGAGGGTTATTAATTTTGTCGCGAAATTCTGTTTTTTTTTCGATTGCAAAAAATTGCCTTACTTCGGCTCTTTCTCAAATTGTTTTCGAAATGATTTTTCTCGAGCAAGTTACCCGTAGAAATTCGAATCATAACTTTGTCGCCATTAATATTTTTCATCTCTTGACAAACAAAACCACAAAAGCCACGTAGGTTGTATTCAAATTGCTTGTTCGGTTTCATGTCACGTAATTAAAATTAGTGTTCGTTCGCGCGGCACGAAAACGTTTTTTTCTCGGTAAAAGATGCTTATTCGATTTTTGAGATGAAATGTGGTATTTGAAGTACTTTTGTGCTTCTCATGGCTTACTATCGCTTCAAATGTTCGATGCGGCGGCTTCTTCTGTTTACATCATTTCTATTTTGAACCCTGGGGGATCAAAACCAGCACTGTAGACACACTAGTGGTACAAGTTTTCAATTTATTGTTTGGTATTGTCTTGTTATTTTTCTCATCCGTGTATAGCTATACATCTGAAGCCCCTAGATAATAAATGTGGCGTGACTTTTGCAATAAAGGATCACATTCCTGATATTGTAAATCTCAAAAGAATGTTCAAATTTGTTGGGGCAAAACAATTGTTTGTACCCATGACTTGACATTGCCTGTGGGCAAAATAAATTATCTTTAACCTGAATAGTGGTAATTTATTTGCTTTCCCTAGCTTCAAAACCGTGTTTGTAAGAAATACTTTTGAAACGGTCAATTTTTATTAAGTGTTTTCCTAGGAATGAGTGTATGCAAAATTATAGAAGTAAAACAAATCAAATGATTCTTTACTGGTGTTTTTTTTTCAGAATGTCAGAATATAATGTCAGAATACTGAGAACATTCGATTTAAGATTACTTTTGAGGTTGTACTTAATACCAGTAAGTTTGAAATTGTCTGGGATGAGCAAAAATTTGAGACAGAATTTGTGTTAGAGATCAGTTTTTGACACAAGTGACTGGTTATTTTGCCTGGTTTCAAGCCTTCAAGTATATTGTGACCTGTGATCTCGACACCTACTGATCACGACAATGCAATCCAGGGCAGAACATGTTGTTATGATAAAATCTGGATGAGCGACCTAAAATTGCTTTGTTTTAGCTTTCAAGAAGGTGGAAAACATTGCTTGTGTTTTGTTTGCATGGGTAGTTATTTTGGATGATTGGATTTTATTGTCGCATAGATGATTTGTGACTCATTTTCAAATTCTGTTCAGTATGTGACAGCTTTTGTCTTTCAAAAAAGATATGTTTCCTTTCTTTTATTACAGTTAAATAATCTTGGCTACTCTGAAAGAAACGTAGACATTTTTAAATGTCTTCATCTCCTACACTTTACTCACAAATGACTCTGAAAGTCTTGTTGTTGTAACCAATCCGGAATCACATACATGAAAGATACATGTAATGTTTTCGTATTGTCGCTGATATTCAGGTGAACAGAGGTTAGAAAGCTTAAAATTGTGACAGCGTGACAGTCGCGTATAAAGTGTCACCTCTTGGTGTTCAACTGTGAAAGGTGTGTTCTTATGTTGAAAAGGAAACAATTTTCCTTTTTGGGAGGGGCAACGTGTATTATTGATTATTTTGTACAGGTGGTGAATTTTTTTTGCTGCAATTTTCACCTTTTTCTCAGGATCTTGTGAAAGCAAATTTTAGAAAGTTAATTTTGTTATGTCAAGTTTGCCCAAACATTTTGTATTTTTATCAATCAAGGAGTCTTTTGGCCAGTTCAACTTGAAATTTGTGTCATTTTTTGCATGAACGACAACTTTCATATTTTTGTGGAAAGTGATAATTGTTGTTTTGTAAGTTTTATTAAAATGATCTGAATCTATTGTTCCTTGTAGCTGCTGCTTTTCTTCAGTGGGTTGCTTTTACAGGCGCATTAAATCTAAGACACCAACTTAAAGTTTGTGTCACGATACACAGTAGGATAATATTCTTTACACCAGTGTTCTATATATAACGGTACTGTAAGATGTGTTTAGCAAAAAATATTTGAAAATTTGACTAGGTTGTCCTCTGATTTTACTCATTTGTTCGAAATTACATACACAGTTGTTTAAACAGCAGATTTAACTTGAATACTACACGCAAAATCAATATTTGGCTATTTATTATTTTGGCTAAGCCATGTTGTTGCATTCATGTAGAGTGAAGGTAGTTGGTTTCTTGTCATGTAACTTTGAGCTTTGTGTATTTATAAATCTAACTTCAGAAAACTACACCTTGCTTAATAAGTAGTCCTGTAACATGGTTCTCTGTTTACATATGTGTTTATTAGGATAGTAGAGCGTTTAATCTTTTTGTGTCAGTCATCTTTTTTTACGTACAAATAAATTTTGAGGACATGGAAGTATTGTTTAAGTAGTATTTCATTTGTTCATTTCAAACAGTAGTGTGTTAAAGTTATCATGTAATGAAGTATAGCTTGGATTAAACAGTACCGTGGTCAGACAGATATATTTCAGCCATAAATATGCTTGTTTGGAAATATATGTGTACAGCAGACAAGTGCACCAGACCATTGTAATCGCTGTTATCATTTCTGAGTAGAGTAGAGTTTTGTTTGTAATATGTTTAATATGTTTGGTATGTGTGATATTGGTTGTTGAGCTTGAAAATATGAACGAAGAGACACTACTACATATTAGATCAGAAAAAGCGAGTGAAATATTTAGGCAGCTTGAACAGACATTATGGGCATAAACTTTTCATGTCATGCGTCACTGACAATTAAACTTCTGTAGATTCCTCAATCTGTCAGTTTTCTTTTGAAGGGAATTAATGGTTTTCTGTTAGCTGAAACATATACCAGTTAATTTGATGTAAAGAGCGTTTTGTTAAACATTTCCGCTATAGATGCCTGGGAGCAATTTGAAATGTTCTGGTGTCAAATGTCAGACTGCGTAGATATCACTTGTTGTTTAAAGTATCAATCTCTTGCTCAAGTTATTTTTAGTTCCAAGAGCAGAACTTACACCTTGCCCACTTGTGTAGAATTTTCAGAGCTTTAAGTGAGGCAGTAGTAATTTTTGACAAGTAGTTTTACTCAGACAGCAATGAAAGACATCAGCAAATATTTTGCTCATTACTGTCTGAAAGTCAGATGACAAGTGTGTAATTTTAACTGTCAAACCAAGGAGGTTAATAACAATAATACAGTGTATTTTTGTAACATTAATTTACGTGGGATATTGTTTCAGTTTGCTTCTGATTAGGACTAATGTTTGCAGGCTAATCTCACCTGTAAGTATTGTGACGAGTGTCTTTTTATAGACGGCATGGTTATTTTAAGCTCAGACATGAAATCATGAATATATAAATAATGCATGTGTTACACTTGTCTGAACCATATGTTGCATATTCATGCTGTCCGTATCCGTGTCTGAATCAGTGCGTATCAAAGTCACGTAAAAAGAGTGACATAAAAAACATTGCATATGATGCATGTTTGAGCTGTGATATCATTACTTCAAAAAGTCTTGCGCTCTCACATGCTTTTGTTAGGAGATTTGAAAATTGGCAAATTGTGATTATAGTTAGCTAAATGATACCTTTGATTGGCTAGAGAAGGGAGCATCACATGATGACCTTGAAGAGCGTTAGAGTTAAGGAGACCAGACAGGATCTTGTAGTGTAATATATGTAATATTTGGCACGTGAGCAGAATTCAAGCGGAAAATTAAGCTCTGAATTTGTGGCAATGAATGCATAAAATATGTTACTCACTGTGCGTTCTGGATCACACTGAGAGATTATTTTTGTTCTGTTTTTTTTATTTGTGTGTGCTTACAATGTACTGTTGCTACCAAATTGATGATTAGATGTTTTGTGGTGATGTAAAAAGAAATTGCGTGGAATATAGAATTGCGGTGATCTTGACAACACTAGAATGTAGACATTCACTACATCATGGATCAAAATCTTTCTATTTCATGGTGCTTGAATATTGCCAGACAGACAGAGAAACAGTTGCTCTTTTGTCTTAATTAGAACACTGAATTTGGGTTTTAAAGTTTGTGGCATTGTCTTGTGTAAGAAAATAGCAAGGAAAATGATTCAGGTACATGTTGTTATTTATTTGGAGGAGTTTGCCTTAGAGTTATGTTGAGAAGCTTCTTGCAACGTTATTAAAATTGTGTTTTTGTTATACTGTTAATGGCAAAGCAAATGTGGTAAAATTACTGCTATTACAAGTTAAGTATACATGTATAAAATCCATCATAATCTTTCCCCAACACCTCAAATGTACACGCACACAATCTAAGAAACTCTGAGATAAATTGTTATATCCGCAATCCAAGAACGGAATATGCAAAAGGTAGCATGCACTATAGAGGATCTGTTCTGTGGAACAAGATTCCATCGGAAATCGGGCACCTATCTAGTCTAAAACTGTTTAAAACCTCACTGAATGGGAAAGATTATTCTTAATGTACTGTAAATTAGAGAAAGTTTTATGACATAGGTTTTTACTGTAGGCTAGTTAATTAGTTCGTTAGTTAATGTAATGTAATGTTAGTAAATCCATTCCTGTTAATATAGTTAATTTATTCTTTGTAATTTTTTACATGACTCCTAGGTAGACCATTTTTATGATAAGATTTTCGTGTTTAAATAAAGATTGATTGATTGATTGATTGATTGATTGATAAGTGCTGGAAAGCAATTTGTGTTATGTTCTTTCAAATCTCTATTTTGTCAGACATATATTTCGTAATTGTGTGCACAAATAATCTGCTGACTCAATCTGTAGGCATATATGAGGTAATCAGGGCTCAACACTAACGGTAACCAACTAGCCACAGACTAGTAGAAATTTAGTTTTGGCTAGTAGGTTTTCGATTCCCACTAGTGACTTTGGCTAGTCAACAAAATGAAATTGGCTGAACTAGTTTCTGTCTTCTTCAAGGACGACAGACACAAGATGTACACTTTTCTCGGAAACAATGTCAGAATTTCAATGTGGACATATCATGGGACTGGGCATGTGCTGTTCAGCACGTATGTCTACTTTTCTGTGGTACGTAAACGGGGAACTGAACATGTTAATTTTGTTGAAAGAAATATTTGACAAACAAGACAGCACACATCAGTGCTCTTTTTTGTTACGAAATTTTTTTCATGCGCAAAATAGTGTGGAACTGCAAAAGGATAACATTTCATTTGGCGTAACAATATATCAGTGATATGTCGTGGTATGCTTACTTACAAACTTACCACTACAGAAATAATTGGATGAGAAAAATTTAGTTCCTTCGACATTTAAATCAGCTGTTTTTGGCAGTTGAATTTCGCCAACGACAGTTTACAGTATTGTTCAGATAGTTGTTTTGCTTTTGAAACATTTCTACAGCATCTGTCTGTGAAGAAGTCTCGACAGTGACATCTTGGGGGTCTCGCTATTTTTCCAAGGAAGTCTCAGAGAAAACAGAGTTCTGAAAGTCTTTTCGGGAACTGGAGCTTTTTTGAAACTAGTTTAAGTACAGTATAATTACCAACATTATGTATTAAAGAGAGTGGCTTGCGTTTTGCTTTCAAGTCTTGCAAATTCTGTTGTTATTGGACCCACCTGAAATTTTCGTGACATGTTAACTTTGTGAATTTCGCGATTTAAGAAAAAATTGCAAAATTAAAGTGACTCGCATAAGTGTTGGGAACATAACACATTATGTTACTGTTGACATGCAGTTCTGCCATTGTATTTTTTTTTACTTTTGGCATTATTGCACCTTTGATAAAGTCAGTTTACTAAATTCAAAGATCATGTTTAAGTAACATTGCCTGGGAAACAAATTTTGTGTTACTCAAAAATGCAAAAAATACAAATTTTTGCAAAATCGCGAATTTAAGTGTCACAAAATATGTGCACCCCCAAATTGCGAAATAAACCTGTTGCGAAAATTTCAGGTAATAAGGTTGCCAACCTCAACACTTGGCTAGTTAAAAAATGTTTTTGGCTAGTAACATCTAAGTAGTCACCAGCCACGTGTCTAGGAAGTTGAAAAGTTAGTGTCGAGCCCTGGGTAAAAAATATCCTTTAGTTAGCGATTCAATTCTGGAGAAGCTGTCAATTGAAACAAACCATGAATCTGTATGATTTGTGATTTCTAACAAGTTTCAAAGCAATTGTGTTGTACAAACAAGATCTTCACCACAAAAAGCTAGGTCATCTTGTTGCTTGCTCATAGTGTAAAATCATATTTGTAAAGTAGTCGACAATTTCACAAATTTGGGTAGACAATGTCCAATGATGACTTTTATTTCCAGCACTGCAAGATGCCCATGGAGTGATATGCAAAAGATAATGATATTGTAGTAATCTCTTTAGATCTGAACAAAATTTAATCTTTTCATTCCCTAATGCAGCTGCAACTCTTTCTGTGAAAGCAACATCTCCAAACTGTGACAAATGTGCATTATCTGTATTAAAAGAAAGCCCGCCTCAGCCAGTAACAACATATGATCAACCAAAGTACCTGGAGGCAGGACCTAGCAACTCAATACCTGGACCAAGTAACATTCCATGTTCTGCAGATCCATGTCCTATCATTGTACGCAATTTACTTTGGCATGCTGTTTACAGGCATCAAAGCACTGATGCAGAGAGCTTCAGTAGACGGGCTATTGAATCCCTGGTGAAGAAACTAAAAAAGAAATTCTTCGAGCTGGACTCACTGATTGTAGCGATAACTTCTAAGGGACGGCAACCGTCCAAGTGTGTCACTGTGCAAAGGACCATGGATGGAAGGTTGCAAGTCGGGGACAAGAAAGACTTTCCACATGTCATCTATGCTCGCCTCTGGAGATGGCCTGATGTACACAAGATGGAGATGCGGCATAAAGAATTTTGCCAGAATGGTTATGATACAAAACGAGAAAAAGTTTGTGTTAACCCATATCATTATGAAAGAGTTCAGCCACCAGGTATGTGAGAAGCAAATGTTTTGCATGGCATATCATGTTACAGATGTACATTACACCTGAGATAAAGGAGTAATTTATAGTCATTTTCTTATACTTTATGTATTTATTCTTGAGTTGATTATCAAAATTGGCTAAACAAAGAAGGAGCAAAACTTCACCAAAGGTGAAAATGCTTTAGAGAATAAGGGGGTCTTTGTTTTAGAGTTTTTGTGGTCTTTGTTTTAGAGTTTTGGGGTCTTGGAATCTTAGGGTCTTTGGGTCTTCATTTTAGAGTTTTTGTTTAAGAGACACCCCATCACTACATAGGGTTTTGAAACATTGTGTAATGTTTATACCTCTCAGCCACCCTGTTAATTGGTATTTTACCATTTTTGCCATTTCTGCTGGAGACACCCCTCGTCATACAAAAGTGTACCTTTACGACACACACTACTCTTAGAATTTACTAAGTTTTTATTGATTTTTATTCATAACTAGTTTGTTGACAATGAAAGTTTTGTAATTGAACAAACTACTCAAAATTTTTTAGAACAGGTTACGAAGTGCTTTTTATTTCATAAGTATATGTAAACCAAAAAATAATTAAGTTACTAAAGGTAATAGTTGCACATATGTGATGCAATGCAGATAAAATGTGAACATAATTTGGCAACAAATAGCGATAATGTTTGCAAGTAATGAGTGAAAATGATGATTGAAAACAGATAGTAATAATGGTGTCACATTGTCTTTGTCAAATAACAGGTTACCAGTTTCTACCAAAAGCCTTGTTATTTGTACCCTTTGGGTTTAAAACCAGGGTCCTTAAAAAACACTGTTTCTTCATCTAAAACCACCAATTTCTCTGGCTAGAGCTCAGTTGATAGTCTTTTAGTGATATTCTTTATATTGTGGAATGCAAAATACATATTAGACCAGGTCACCAATATCATAGTTATTTAAAAGGGATGCACGTTTTTTGTGATTTTGTGTCACAAACAATACAAGAAACAAAATACATCATTAGTGGTCAAATTAACAGATTCCATGTTGTTTCTTTGTTTTTATGGCTTTGTTTCATTATTTAATAGATGAATGAATGACATTCCAACTTGCATGTGTTAACTCATATGTGTACATGTTTTCAGCTGTTATCTTGATTGTTCCTTCTTGTTTCAAAAACGTAGACTAGGTTTCATCGCCTTTATAACATGGTAACTTAAAGAGCATGCAATTAAGTATAAGCTCCCAATATTTGCACTGTTAATTAACATCCTTCATTATTGCTCCCGATGCTAAATGGATCTGCAGGTGTTTTCTGAGCCACCATGAGGCCTAACACAATAATCTGCTGTGTTTTGTCGCCTTATCAAAATAATACTGATCAACTGTCCATAAATGACCAAGTTGTATTAATTTTGACTTCTTGTAAAACACTTCAGATTAATATCCCTCTTCTGGATTTTACTCATCTGTCACACTACACTCTTGAAACAGTTTCTTTCCAGTGTGAAAATATAAACTTGTGGCCTTAATTTATTTGTGTCCATTCCTCCTCCCCCTCTGGAATATCCCTAGGCTCTGAGAAGGAAGCCTTATTCACCTACTGGCATGAAGAGAGATGATGGTGATGATGATGATAACCCCACCCCACCCCACCCCTCCAGAATTTGCCGTTGTCCTCTTTAGTTGGGGTATCAATATTTTCTGGGTCTACACAATTCTCTGAGTAGAATCCACTCTCTTTGTTCTAAAACTGGCTTAAAATATATATACATAGAAGGCCGAAACAGTACTGTCTGCAGTTAGTTAGTTATATATATATATATATATTTTTTTTTTTGCAGGAGACAGAAGTCAGTATTGTACAATTTTAATTTCTTGTAAGATGATAGAATATGGTTTTTAATTTCAAGTGTTGCTGTTTTTGTTTTTAGATTGGTTCAGAGCTTCTTTGTATGGAAATTCACATAAATCACATAGCAGTTCAGGTTTGATTTGTTTTTCAAATTTGTTAACAAATTTTGATATGGTTAAATTTAATATAAAAACTGGTTGAAAATTTCTGAACTTATATTTAGTGCAGAAATGTAAGCCAATTGGATATCAAATGCAACATGGTTTTGTAGCCAGTTTTTGTTAGAAGATACATTTTGGCAATGTTTGCACTTGAAATGAACTGAATCTGTACTTGCCCAATATACTTTACAAATTCAACCACTCACAAAACATTCCTGTAAATCAATTTTTCTGGCCATTATTTATGGGTGTGGATGTTGGCATAAACACATTCAAATTTTGTTTGAGGTGTGGAAGAGATTTTGTCAGCAAAGGAATGTTTTGTTGTGTATAATGTTTGTAGCTTGAGCATCTTCAGGATACAGGCAAGAATTTATTAATAAGCAAACTGACAGTGTAGACAACATGAAAATGTTTTGCAGTAACGTTAAAGCATATACTGATTCCAACTTGGGCATTTCAGATTTTAGCCTGTAATAAATGTTTTTCAACTATGTGCTATGTCCATATTTTGTGTGCCTTTTTTAAACTTTTTGTTACATTTTTTGTACAAACAGAAGTAGACAGCAGCCATAAGAGTGATGAGGTAAGGAATTCACTTAGTACATGTTTACAGTCCCAGGTGTTTAGTCCTCAGGGTGCAAGCCTGAATACTTTGGCTATTATTTTTCATCAGGGTTCTGGTATCTTGCTGTGGTTTTGCTGTTTGCCATAATTTTTACAAATCATCATAACAAAAAAACAGGCACAATTGATGTTGGCCATAGTATCGGACATTGTTGGGGCTTATCCTGATTTTTGTACCATGAAGTGACTAGGGATATTTCTACTTAGCCCCCTTGGATGGGATGTTAGTCTCCCCAGTGCCAACTTTGTAAGTACCGTTTTATAGACCTGGCTGGGGAAAGGCACAGTGAGAGTAAAAGTGTCATGTCCAAGAACACAAGAAAGTGATCTCTAGCAATGGACCAAACCTGGACCACTTGATCCAGAGTCTAGCATGATAACCATTAGGGTATTTCATATTGCCGACCTCGAGAGAAGGATCCAAATATTTTTGCAGTTCTTACACAGAGCATTTGTTATTTAATTACTAACACAGTGCATAATAGAGAGGCATGGTGACCACTTGGTTAGTGCACTTGTCTCCAGATTGAGCAATGTGGGTTTGAGTCCTGGCCTGGGACATTGTGTTATGTTCTTGAGCAAGACACTTAACTCACACAGTGCCTCTCTCCACAATGGACTAGCGTCCCATCCAAGGGGGAGTAGAAATACTCCTAGTCACTTCACTGAAACTGGAGATAAGTGCCAGCCTGATGGGCCACTTGGCTTGTCTACAGACTTAGCCTTTACCTTACAGTGCATAATATCTGCAGTGTGTATTCTGTTGACTTAAAGCTCAGCTTATATGCTCAAAGCTAATGAACCCATCCTTTTTCAGGACACAAATGGAGGATCGTTATCAAATGAAAATAGTTTGGGCGAGAAAAATAATTGTTTCTGTCCGCATACCAATTCTTCTCAAGGAAGGAAGAGACCAGAAATTCAGGATTCAAGTTTTTTCAACTCCAGATTAAAGCGAAAAGCTGATTTTGATGGAAACAGGTATTGATTTTCTATTTCTTGTTTGACTAGATTAAGGAAAGTTATGTAAGTGTTTTCATAGCCTGTGAGTGAGTGATTATTTTTAGTCTCTCAGACTCGCTTAATTGTTTTCATGATAACATAAAGCAACCATTATAGAATGTATGGCTAAACTCGGACTTAAAGTTCATAGTTTGACAGTTTTTACAGTGCTGCATGCTGCACTGTACCATTGGCACTTAAGATGACGTTTTGGATTGAGATTATGATAACAAAAACATTTCAAACATATTTTTTGGGTTATGTTTTAATTTGTCAATAAATTGCAAAACATGAGGGAGGCAGAGTGAACTGCCACCTCTAACAGTCCTTGCACATGGATTAGCCAGTTCAAATAGAGGCCATATGAATTTCATCAAAAAGATGTCAAAGTGTCAAACATTTAATCAAAACTATTTCAAGTGGGAACATTGTGGCATGCAGCACTTTAACCTTTCATAGCAACATAAATGAAATAATCAGTTAGCAATATTGAACTCATCAAGCACCAAATTCTTAAGTTATTCTCAAAAGCAATGTGCCACAGTTAGGAGAATGAACATTTCCAGCTTGTGTTATTTTTTCACTCATAACAGGACAATGTCAGCTTGCTCATCAGTTAGTTACTCTAGTGATAGTGATGAAGATATCGACATTGAAGCAGATTCACCAAAAAGAACAAAGGTAATGACCAAAAAAAAGATGTTAAAAAACAGTTTTGGTGCCCATCATGTGACCCTTACTTTACAGTGAAATAACCCCAACTGGTATTTCATTTTGCTTCAAGTGTTACTGAGCTTGTGGAGCCTTGTGGATGGATTCTAGAGATGTTATGATCCATTAGAAAGTGTAACAGCTGGCTATATTTTTACAGATAGTTTAATTGAACAAGGTTTTATTCTTATATTCTTATATTTTTATTATTCTTAGTCTTTTATTCTGATTTTTACAGATTAGTTATTTTATTAGTTAGTTTATTTTACTCATGCTTTATATATTTCTATGTTTCTTTATTAATTTTTATTTGTGAGATCTTTTAAAACTCATTGTAAAGCACTATTGGATAGTAATAGAAATAGCGCTATATAAATAAAGTATTAAAATTATTATTATAACAATAATTATGTCACAAACTATTAAATCAGTCCATCCAGCTGTCTGTCTGTCTGTCTATCTGTCTGCCTGTCTGCCTGCCTGCCTGTCAGTCAGTCAGTCTGTCAGTCAGTCAGTCAGTCAGTCAGTCAGTCAAGAAGTACAACATCCATTAAAACAATTTTAACTCTTCTTCGAGTACTTAGTTGAATTGTTCCATTCGGTGTTTTAATTTCAGCTTTCTCCAAGTGAAATTTCTGAGAAACGAAGTCCACTTGCAGTAGATGAGAGATTGAATAATTCTGATGGTACACCAAATTGTGTTTCACAAAGGTGAGTTGTTAGGTGTGCACTATTTATTCTAATGGTGGTATATAATTCTCTGGTGTACTTCCTTGTATAAGAATAAGAGCTACGTAGTTCAAGTAGTCTAGTTGTGTTTGAAGTGGCAGTAAGAAAAAGAAAGCCAAGAAAGGGAAATGAAATGTCTAGAGCATTTATCCATTAACTTCGCACATTGTTTGTATCATTTCAGAGTACGTTGTGCCTTGTGTAACTGTGTGAATAACAGTGTGTTAGGACAGGGAGACCTGATATGTTTCGGCAGAATATCATCTGGCTTTCAAAGACACTCTAGAAGTCCACAACGACAACAACAGAATGTTACCTCAGCTTACCGACACTCTCATTACCCCACTGCTGGTGGTTCACATCCTTCCCAGGGAAGGAAAAGCCCCCGTGATGGAGAGTTTCAAGATCACAGGCAATATTCCTGGACATACAGGGCTGAGGCTGCTAACTCAACAGTGCACCTGAGCCCTCAGATCCACGGGGAAGCACCTGGCAGGTACTGACACTTACTACAACATTTCAGCTCCCACTTTCATGCTTTACACATGAACTAAAGCCTTTTCCATCCCTGCAAATAAATAGTACAGTCTGAGCTGAACCTTTAAAGTCCAGATTCCATGGCAATGTGGAACATTTCTGCCTCTTGCTGAGGAATGGGGTGCAAACATTCAGACTAAGGGGAGGGGAGGACTCCCATGTGAAAGGTCAGGGATGCTGGTCAGGCAGCTGGTCCTTCCTAGTGTAGAAATGAGTACTGGCAGATTAGTGGGGAAAAAAATTGGCCCAAATGTTGGGAAGTAATCTGTGATGGAAGAGGGTTTCATTGCTTTGATACTAGTTGTAATTTACATTAACTTACAAATGCATTTTGTTGGCTGACCCCCAATAAATTGTTCATCACACTTGTTGACCTGTAGTTTGTAGAAAAGCTCCTGAAAAACTTAAAATGTGATTATGCTTCATTGACTCTCTTAATTCATCTCTTTACATCTTAATTGCACACTAGAATCCCTGATGGAAAATCCAGCACAATAAACAATTCTACCAACAGCAGGCAGTCACCAGCTCCCCATGAAGATCTTTCCAGTGTTGGGTTTGAAGAGGAGCCAGATCTGGTTGATTTGTGCGACATGTCTGGTTATGTATGGGTGCATGATAGGTGTGCGGCATGGACACTGGCCTCCTTAGCAACCAAGTCATCAGTAGAGTTTACAATAGACTTAACAAGTCAGATTCTATCAAAGGTTTGTTGATGTTACTTGTAGGTTATCTCTAGCTTCAGTTGTGAGTTTCCTTACTCTTTGTACAGCATCATTGTACAGACAGTACCTATTAGTTTGTGTTTCTGTTTATTCTCATCATCTATCTGCTTTAAACTGTATTGACTTAGTATCTGGAATTAGATGAAGATAAAAAAAGCTTTATGGTTGAAATGACTTGCCACAAGCATGGGACAAAGAAAAAAAATCTGAGTCTCCAATAGGATTCAAACCCATGACCTCCCAGATACTGGTTGGGCACTCTAACCACTGAGCTACAGAGAGACTCTTGGTCTGCCAGGCCATTTCATTAGGGGCGCGATCCATTCAACCAAAATTTCCAGAAATTTTGGTCTAAAACTGAATGGATTGGTTCGGTCCAACTGAAAAAGTTTTGAAAAAGTTGGCCTACCCTTTGGGGTGGACCACTTTTCTTCGTTGGACTGATCCGATTGAAATTGACTGTTCCGTTTGACCTTTCTGATCCATTCTCAGTCTCAGTACCTCGCTGTTCAGTACTTTCGATGTTCAACATTGAAGAAAACAATTATCATTGCAGCTTTTATGGATTGTTAACAGCGGATTTATCGGTGTTACTCGTACATCCATGTGCAGTAACAACAGTTGCATAGCTATGTTATGCAGTGTATGTTGTGGCTGTTAAAAATCATGAATGGTCTATTTCCCGAGAGAATTTCATTATTGGAAAATAGTTTTTGAAGATCTTTGAACTCAACCGGCAAAAACATGGGAACAGTCTGCTCAAAATAACCTCTTATGTGGGTTAAATTTCTATGCATGAAATGGCTTACACAATATCATTGAAAAAGTTGAAATAGTCATCTAAACTCTAACACAAGCAACAGTGATCCAACATCTGCCATTTTAAATGAGTGTGAAACTCTTTTTGTGAGTGGAATGAAATGAGCCCTTCCGGACCCGTTGCGATCCATTTGTCCCCAAGAAATTTTTGAACCTCAATTTGGTTGAATGGATTGTGCCCTAGGTTCATCTGGGAAACATATCCTGCAACTGCTAGGATCAGCATTGTCAAAAGTGTAGCATGTGATGAGTGAAAGATTCTTTAAGGCTTTTTTTCTTTTTCCTAATGACTGTACTAGTGTCCCACATAAAAAGTCACACAACTTCTCATTACCGGTATTCTTTTTTGCAGAAGTGTTCTTTTTGTGGTCGTTTTGGTGCTAGTGTTGTATGTGAGATGTCAGATTGTGGAAGAATATACCACTACCCTTGTGCAATGGCTGCTAGGACGTATCAGGTCAGCACTACATCTTGGCCTAATGATAAGTTAGTCAGATTCAGAATAAAAAGATCCTGTTTTTTTTTGTAACAAAAACTAAAAACCAAAACAAACAAGTAAAAAACAAAACACAAAAAAGTTCCCATCATCATACCATGTGACACACCCATGGTAGATAGTTTGGGATATTTTATTTCAGTTTTTTTTGTAGAGCATTTTCTTTCTTATAGTTTTTCCTTGCCACCAGGCTTTTAGCCAGAATTTTAGCCAGGGTTTGAAAAGTGGGCATCCAAAATATGCTGTAGGGACTTCCCAAAGGAACAAATTATAAAGCAAAATCTGAAAAATAAAACAATTTTTTTTACTAAATGGTTGTCCCCAGGATGGCTGGACACCCATTTGGCTAAAAGCCTGTTTGCCACCAACCTGTCCAGAAGTTTGCAACATTTGAGAGGTGAAGTGACAGAGAAGCTTATTCTCTCTCTTTTCTCTCATAGTAAGAATTAGGTTTTGTCATTTGAAGGATCCATCTGGTGTTTTGTTTGTATTGCAGGATATGAAAACTATGAAACTGTACTGTTTGAATCATGAAGATGTTATCAGAAGAATAGGTGAGCTGATGAATTACATTCTATCATTGGTGTATCAAAGATAGGAAATGGAGTACATATAAATGGGTGAAAGATTAAAGAGAAAGAGATCTTAGTTTGTAATTTTACAAACTCTCTGCCAATGTTCTCATTCAAATCCAAATGGTGGAGCTGGAAAATTACAATTAATTTTCTTATGCTGTGTTTGACTTCCAGCATTCTGTGACAAATGTCATCAAGGTGGTGAATTATCACAACTGCTACTCTGCACAAAATGTACCTGCCATTATCACAGTTACTGCTGTTCACCTCCTGTTCGTGCTACAGAGTCTGTCAGGGTGGGCTGGGAATGTGCTCAGTGTAAGTCTTGTCAGGCTTGCAGGTGAGTTTTTAAATACGGTGGAACCCCTATTAAGTGGCCACCCTCAGGGAAATGGGAGGTGGCTGCATAATACGGGTTGGTGTACCTTGAATATTTTTCACCATCGTGTTAATTTCTTGGTGAACATGGAGTCACTTCAAGGCAACATGATAAATGTGTGTTTGAATCTTTTTATCACTCGTCATCTCTCTCGGACTCTTATCTGCCGTTGCCTTTTCCAAAACAAAGTTTTTAAATTTTGGGTGGCTGTTTAATAGGGGTAAAGACAATAGAAAAACCCTCATCTGGATGACCAGAAGGTGGCTGCGGCTGCTTAATAGAGGTGGCCAGTTAATAGGGGTTTTATTCACAGTATTTTACTGACAATAATTTTGGGACTTTGATAACTCACTGCTTAACAAGGGGTGGCTGCTTAATAGTTGGCAGCTTAATAGAGGTTTGACTGTATGCAATTTAACAGTTACTGGTTTACTATGAATGACGGTATGTTAGATGTGTCTATCTTTGTTGATAGAAAGAGTGCTTTTAGTATTTGCTCAGCTCAAAGTATGAAGTGCGAGAGATATTTGAACTCTTAGATAAAGCCTTGGTAAGGGGTGCTGAATGGTAAATACGAGACTTTGTGAGAAGGCGAGACTAGTAAGCCTCCATCCCATCGCTCCTGGGGACAAAAGCGTTTTATTTACAATGCCGTTAATGAATGGAACACTTTACCCGATGAAATTAGGAACAGTATCAGTATTTTTAATTTTAAAAGTTGAAGTAGGGGTATTTCTTAATTTTTAATTATCATTTTTTTTTTTACTGTTTTCTATATTTCTATTAGTACAATGGTTAAATGTTATTATTATTTTTAATCTACTATTTCTTTAGCTTTTRCAATTTTATTTTTGCAGGGCCCCACTGAAAACCACATGTATGTGAAGTGGGCTCCCTGTTGAAAGATCTTTATTATTATTATTATTATTATTATTATTATTATTATTATTATTATTATTATTATTATTATTATTATTATTATAGTATCTTTTCTTTACTAGCCCAAGACATTTGGCTCTTCAATAATTATTGCAAGACTGAGACTTCAAATTGAATAATTTCACTCTTTAAAATGGATAGCATATATCCTTACAAATGATTTTTTTTTTATTTTAATCATTTCACAGGCATGGTTCAATTAAAGACAAGCTGCTGATTTGCCGCAGCTGTGACAAGGGTTACCATTCTCTGTGTACAGTACCTGTGGCTAACTCTACAGAAAAGTTTGGCTGGAAGTGTGAGGTATGTAAGCAGCAGCTGGTGACCAGAATTAAAGGTTGGACTGAAATTCTAAGAACTATACAGAGGAAAATTATGTATGAAAATCCCTTGGGAGAAGCAATACCTTAATCTTGAGATCACAAAGGTCATTGGATCATTTCCCCCACACTTTTTGGGCTTCCTATAAGCTAAGGAAAGGTCTGGAAATGCAAAAACATGGAAAAATAAGCAGTAACATGGAACGACGTTTTAGAGTTGTCATGACACCATTATCAATTTCTAAATGATTGAAATAAACTGTTACAAATAGTTTCTCTGAGGGTTAGCTAATTCAATTAATTATTTATGCAATGTCACGCAAATAGTTTGGCTTGAATTGAGTCCAATTGGATGTTTAGAGAAGGTGTAAATTTTCTAATACTAACAGCAACATTTTGTGCACCAGTCAGCCATTTAAACAAGCGAGTGAATGAATGTCATCTTCCATTGGCAAGCACCCTAGAGACAAACACTTTATTGTCCTCAAAGACCTTGACAAACAGTTTTCCACCCTTAAGAAGATAGTGAAAGAATAGATAATTTTGATTGTTTTGCGCACAAAATGTTGCTAATTAGATAATTTTCGCCTTTTCTTAACATCCAATTAGACTCAATTTACTTGACTGTTGGTAGGTCAATGCTTGACCCATTTTGTCTATAATAATCTGTTTTCTTTCTTAACAGAAATGTCGACAGTGCAGGCAGTGTGGAACAAAGAAAACATCATGCTGGCACATTGATTACACTTTATGTGACAAGTGCTACCAAAACAAACACAAAACAAGTCGATGTCCTATGTGTAATGAAGAACAGGGCAACCAGAAGGTGATCCAGTGTGATTCATGTAGCAGGTACGTATGTACATACAAGTTAGCACAGACCCCAGCTGCTAATTGGGTATCTTATAACTCCGATCTGAAATGTGTCCCCCAGTACTAGGAGGTTGTTCATTGAAGAAAACCTTCAGACAAAAGTATTTAAAGTTATCTTATTATATTGACATGAGTGTTTTACTGGAAAATTCACCTCTGGTAAAATTGATACTGAGTGGTATTTCCCATCCTCACGGGTGAGTATATCGATGGCATCATTTCCCGCTTTTTCACAGTTGTTTAAGGAAACAGTCAGTCTCCCTATATAATAAAGAGAATATTCTGCTTACCCGCTTGCTTGGTCATAAAATATTGTTTTTACCACTCAAAAATATAATTCATATCTTTGCGGCATTGTGTAGTAACTGCTATAATTTCTTTTGTGCCTATTTCTTTTTACTGTGTGCATCAAAGAACAGGCAAAAAACTCCATCAGTTTTGGAGGCTAATCCTAGAGGCTTACATGTATTTTCCTACTTAATCAGGGTTGTTGATGTTGTTTCATGTAGGGTGGATCAATCTGTAAAGTGATCTTCATGAAGTGTTTCACATCAACTTGGCATTATTGGACTAAATACTGGCTTAGAAACAAACAAGAAACAATATTGTCGTTAAAAAGCTTGGAATGTAATAATGTAAAAAGATTGTATTACACAGTTAGTATCATCCATTGTCAGAAAACATTTGTACCAAATGTACAAAAAATGTACAACAAGGGCAAAAAAGTCTCCTGCCCTCAGAAACTTGAACCTTGGTGAAGAGTCACCGGAAATGGGTCCCCAAATTGACAGTGATTTAGTTTTTTATTGATTTTATTCGTATCTTTTTTTCATTTTTCCAATTTATTATTATCCTATTAACAGTTTTTTACACGGCCCCATAAGCTATATTAGCTTTAAAACCCATCATGTTTAAATAAAAGATGTTGTTGTTGTTATGTAATGTATAAGTGATGAAGTGTATGTAAACACCTCTATGGCACCTGTATTTTTGTTATAAAGTCTTTGTATTGGCCGCAGTAACAAATGGGCCCATTGAGTGGAAAACTAGAAAATATCTAGAATTATCCCTGGATCCAAGCAGTTTAATAAGTAAGCAGCAAAATAATTAGAAAATCTCTTTTTTGTTGTCGTTTCAGATGGATTCATACTGTTTGTGATAATATCACTGAAGAAATCTACAGCAAACTTGAACAAGATAGCAGCATAATCTATGTGTGCAAAATTTGTAGAGAGGAAGTTGAAAATATTAAGAAAGAATGTAGACGAGAGGTAAGTAGTGATCCTTAACATACATATACACCATGTTGATTCGTGAATTAAAAGAGTGCGTGACTGATTAATCTAGTTATTTTTTTTCAGATTAAAACAGATCCAACAGAGTTGGAAGAAGTATCTCCAGTCACAGCTATGGTTTTATCCCAGGAGAGTTACAAGGGACAGAACACAAGACACAGCTCCGTTGTCACCACCAGCATGGCTGCCACACCCTTGTGTATGTCGTGGATGACATCAGAACCTGTCCAGTGGTCTCGTTTACGAATGACCTATTCTTTTGAATATTTCATTATGAAACAGTATGGTAAAGTGTTACTTTAGGGCCAATGTGTTGGAAGTGTTCAAAACTATTGCAAAAGGCAAAATTATGGTCCATTTCTATGGATATTTTGTTTTTGGAAGAAAAAGATATTTTGCTGTAGTTAGAATATCCTATGTCAAACTTTCAGATTGCCACCATAACAAACCTTTTGCTTCTTCTGAAGACAGTTTTGAATACTTTCATTTTTTGATAATTTGGTTTATATGGTAGTTATTGAGCGTCTGTCCCAGAAGCCTTGTTTTGGTAGGGTGCATGTCAAGTAGCAACTAGGAATGGTGAGTTTATTTGGGTTGAATCATATGGCTGTACACACAAGATAGACGTTTAGGCAAATTATCTGTTTGCCTTTGAAGTTCTTTATATTGATGGAAGAATTCAATCTTGTAAATTGTATATTATATTAAATTATCTGCATGTCATCACTGATATTTAAATATTACAAACATACATACACTGAATTTTCTTAAAGCATTAAATCAACTGTCGCAATAAGAGATGTAGTGACAATGCAAAGGAAATCTATAATTTATATACGCAGATATTATTTTCCAGTTCAAAGTGAAATCCCTTGAATTACTTCAGATAAAATGCTATTTATTACTATTAATGAATGTCCATTCTGTCAAATACTTGTTGAAGATAAGATGTGACTCTAATCTTTTGAAGATGTTGGTGAGTTTTCTTGTTGAACATTATCATTTTCGTAAATGAACTTTGGTGTAAATGTAAGTTTTACAGTTGATACTATTACATGTTTTGTCCTGATTAATGTTAGTCTCAACTTTTTCAGAACAAGTTTCTTGCTTGCTTGCTTGCTTTAACACCAAAAACAATTTTTGCTGCATTACAGAATTTTGAGTTTATTAAATTCATTTGGTGAGTTACTTATTTTTGATCATGTGGCAGGTTTTCTTTGTATGACAACTTGTCCATTGTAAATCTGTAAGGATGCAAAAATTTATATATTGATGTATATACAGATATATGCAGGTACATATATATTCAGTCAGTTTTTATAACTATTGTCATGAGAGATTTTGATTTTGGTAATTTATGTATGTAATCTTTAATTCCTTTTCTTGGAAGACAAGTAGCACCAAAACAAAGCCTTATATGACACAATTTTTAGCAAGTTTTTTTTTCCTGTGATTATTTACTGGTATATGTGGCTTAAACTTGTTTTTGGTTCAAGAGATTTTTCAAACCAGGTTGAATTTATTGTCACCTGTTTCATAATAATACTATATTGAATGCAAGACAAAGGACATATTTCAAGTTTCAACCCAAAGAAGATTTCAAATTTCAAATTTCACCCAAAAATAGATTTAAACCACATGTACATCACTGTTAGTTATTGCTCATGCTCACTATAACCCATGAAAAAAATACTGATGCCATGTATTCCACCCGAGATTCATATCTTCATGTGATTGGTAGTTGTGTTTGGAAACTGTGACTGAGTAACAGCCAGAGAGACTTGTAGGGTTGCTGAACTGGTTTGTCATGGACTGTTTTTGTGCAAATTTCAATTGTTTGTGCGTAGGAAACTCATGAGTGAACAGAGACGTCTATTTTCTTAGACTACAGGCACATGACTTGTGCAATATGCTGAATACTTTATAACTATGATTTGATGCATGGCCAGAAATCTGCCTTGACAGGTCTGTGCTAGAATAAAGAAAAACAAACATACCCTTACACTCCTTTAGTTCAAAATTCAAAATGTTTATAAATTATATGTTACAAAGTTATTCAATGCAAGGCCAAAAATTGATGCAAAGTTTGTCAGATTATAGCTAAGGAAAAAAGCTACTTTTAAGGTAGAAGACTAGATTCTTTTTACTTGCGGAAACTAAACTGATCCATGGTGGTGAAGCTGGCTATGCATTAAATTACAGATATGGAACTTATTTACTTCTAGAGTGGTGCCTCCTGATAAATACAAAATGTTATTAACCTTCTAGGGCTGGAACCCAATTATAATTTTGTTTGGCTACTGTGGTTGAGTCTGTTTTGAGGATTTGTACAAACAGTGATTATTTTTAATACATCCTGATTATAAAATTGTTATAGAGAAAGTCACCCTCCACTCATTCATACACTTAATTGAATCTATTAAGACTGTTTACACTGAACTGTCAATCTAAAGTAAAAAATTAATTTCATTTTACAGAAACTTACCTGTTGAGAAAGAGAAACCTCTATTTTTATTGTTTTCTACGTAATAAGTGGATCAATTAAAATCTTATTTTATACTGCAATATTTGGTCACATGATTTTATGTGCCATCTGAGTAATCAACATACATTTGTACTTTGGTTGCACCAAGTTAGTTCCAAGCTTGAAAAACAAATTCTCCCCACTAATTATTGCAGATTATCCTTGAAAATATAAGGAGAATTTGATTAGATCAGGCTTGGAATTACATGGTTTTGATCTTTTTTTTTTTCTAAGACGTAAGAACTGTGAACAAATGCAGGCCACAGTAATTATTTTGAAAATATCTTGATGGCATCTTTACAACACCAGCACTGTTACTTGTATCTAGTAAACGCAGTCTCTCTGACTCTTTTATTTGCTCAAGGTGTTTGTAAAATGGCTTGGATTTGTTATTTTGTAAGGCTAACACGGATTTATTCAGGGTGTCTGGTCTGGTAGCCACTTATGTATGTGATACCCATTCAACACTAACAAATCAAACCTTGACATATATAATTATATCACAGGTGATCAGGAGTGTATTTATATCTGAAATAGACAAACTTGTATCAAAGCTGATCAGCTGAACAGAAAATAGTTATTTTTAATATGAAAATTATTGCATGATCTTTATACTTATTTTAAAACACCTGAGATTGCATTTGCTGAAAAGAGCAGTCTGTATATGAAATATAATATTTATTAAAATAAGTACCAACTCCAAAGTTATGTATTGTGGTACTGTACCACTAGCAGTGGATTTATATCAAACCTTTCCCTACTGTAGACAAAACACTGCTTTGCCCTCCCTAGACAGTTGCTTAGTTCTTGCGGTGGCTAATTCCTCCTTGGGAGATGGGAGTTAGTGTATGTAAATACCTACAAGTTCGTATCTACTTGGTAAGAATGGGCTCCCGCTATAATTATGGGGGCCTTTTCTATAGAATCATCGCTTGATATTTTATAACGTATGAAGTAAGAATTCGAGTGAAATAAACAGCTGTAGACTCAATATATTGGAGCCCTTTGGCAACTCATTTATTGGAACATTAGTGTAGTGAACAACTAGTAAGCCTTGTGTCAATCATTTGCAGCTATAACAAGACTGCCATATTAAATATAGATTTAACTGTCTCTGGGACCAGCTTGCACCTAAAAACCCCATGTTTTCCATGTCATTTGTTATGAAACATTAACTGTTCCACAGTGATAAATATATTGTTTGGTAGATGCCATAGATATATAATGCTACATTTAAGCAAAATAAAGGTGACTGAAATATAATTAAATTGGTTGACTTCTAATGTTTTATGATGATTAATCTGCTGGGCAAGTAGTATTAAACTAATTTATGTTGTTTAGTAGCTTGTAATATTTATGAATATGTAAATCAGGTATGTTAAAAACTATCATGAAGCTAACTAATGGCCTATTTGATATCAACAGTAAACAATAAAATTTCAGCAATAATTAGTGACAACATGAAAACATTACCATAACACTATCCTAAAAATATTAGCCTTGTTTGAACCTGACTGAGTAGGCTGTACTTGCACGATGGTGACCTTTTTTTGGAGATGACTATCAAATTTGATACAAATTGGTCTTTTAAAATGCACTTCCATAAAACATTGTGTGGATCAATAGTTTTTGATTAACATTTCCATTAGGGGGCAATATTTAAAAGCAGGCTGTTTGGGGTTTTTCAAGTTATTCACTAGACTTGCTCAGGGCCAGCTTAGAATAGCACACTTGCATGATGTCATCATTTGACTACAACTACCAGAATCATTTCGTTTCTCCTTTATTATTCAAATTTTAAAACTACAGGGGGGTTAAAATGACAATTGTGCCATATTAGCATGAGTTAAAAAAAATAATTAAGCATAATGGTAGTTGTAGTGAAATGATGCCATCATGCAAGTTGCCTGTTGAGTGCACAATGTACTACAGGTTCAAATTCATTCCACTTTTAAGGCTAGTGACTAAACAGTTAAGAATTCAAAGTGTAACATGGTAACATTTTTACCACATTTGATTATCGCTGGCCTTGCATTGAAACATGAAAACATATTAAATTGCTTTGGGCTTTTAATAAGGTAGTATAATTATTGTGCGATGATCCTTAAATCAATTGAAATTTTGTAAATTTGAATAAATGAATGCTGTGCTTAAACTGCCTATTGTGTATGTCTTGATTCCTATTTGTTCTAAAACTTAACACTAATTAGAATAAACGTCACAAAGTAACATTTTTTTTTAGATAAAACAGGCTTAATCAGTCCTTTGAGATGTCCCCCTTGATTAATGTCTGTTAACTGTCAAAGCATTACTCTTGCTAATGACTTTATTAGCTATGACCTTATTAACTACTAAAAAGTAATTGACATTCAAATAATTGAAAGCAGGAAATTCCAATAATTATCATGTACCAAGCCAGTGAATGTTGTTTCTTTCCTGTTCTGGGGTATTCTACACTTCCCACAAGGTTGAAAATTGTGAAGCAACATTGCATTTGGTAAAAGAAACATAAACTGGTTTTCTACAGAGTGATTATTGCCCTAGGTGTAGACAAGAGAAATTTACCTCCAAAAAATTAACAGTAACTTGAGTACCCCACTTTACTTCACGCAAAACTGCTCAGAATTGGGGGTGGGAGGGGGGTGGGGTAGGGGTGGGGGGTCAAGGAGTAAGGGAGTTAACTCCTTGAACCATGAAAATCACGAAATGGATGTAGGAGTGAATATTGCTATCATATGACCCCCCAGTAAGAAATGATATGAACTTGTTGAAAAGTCTGCACATAATTTTCAGCACAAAACATCCCCTATACCAGGAGTAATGGTCAAAATACGCAAAGTATGAGTTGCATTTGGTGCATAATGTAGAAAAATATTGTGGGTTATTCCAGGCTTATCTGCGAGGCCATGTCTGGCTTGTCTTCATCTACTCTGTGTAAAGAGCAGGAAATGGCAACTCAGATGTAGGCTGCAACCTTAAAATGAGGAATAATAACATTTCGTTAGCTTAGACGTTCATGCCTGATAAAAGTCAAATTTTCATAACATTCATTGCTGCTTTGGTTGATTTAAGGGTGCATTCCTTGTGGGATGGTCCAGATCCCAGATCTCTCAGATCATGGAGCATTAAAGAAGGCAATAGCCTGCGAGCTGGTTCTTCACAGGGAAAGAAAGTAGGAAAGGAAAATCTTTCCCATTCCTCTCCTTATTTCTTGCCACGCGAAGATCCTGCTCAGAGTCTAAGGAGGCGATGAATCCTTGTCCATTGTGGATTTATTGGTTCCTCTGATCCCGGCCTGATCAATCGATGACAATCGATGATCGGAATTCCAATCGATCAATCGATGACCAATCAATAATCACAAGTTCACTGCTAAGTTAGAGTAGAAATAACTGGTGTAGTGCTTATTGTGTTAAAAACTTCTTTGGCAAGTCTAGATACGATACGTATTTTATATACCCGCCCCAAAAATATGGAAGTCAATGAAATTGCTCGTCAATGACAATCGATGGGAATTGCTAATAATCGATGACAATCGATGGCAATCGATGATAATCGCTGAAAATTGATGACAATGACAATTGATGGCAATCGAAAAACACCAAATTTTTGTTCATCGATTCCCGATATCAATCGATTAATTGTTATCGATTGTTATCAATTGTTGTCAATTATCAGTTTCATCAATTGATCAGGCCACACTCTGATGTACCATAACTGATTATGATGAAGATAACCCCAAAGGAATGGACCCTAAAATACAACTAGATCTTTCACATCCCTTCTGATTAAAGCCCAGACTTAATTGTAAATAAAATAAATGAGAGTTATGTGGAAGCCTCACTTTTGGAAAACCTTTTAAATAATCCTGTACTAGTGTCACCAAATTATATGGTGCTGCTTTAGTTTCTTTTGTTTTATTCTTTTTAGATACAATTTGTTTTCTTGGTAAGGCATTATTCTAGTTTCACTTTTTCTAGGTAATAAAATGATCAAGAAGCACAGTGTTTTTGATTGTGTTCAAAAATGAAGGAGAATGCATACTTATGATGTAAGTGCAGACTAGGCAAAACACTTAATCAGGATTTTTTTGTTTTTTGTCACTGACGGCCATTGTCTACCTTTGTTAGAACAACATTACATTTTGTGCAAGTGAAGATGTGTATCAGATGACCTCACTGACAGTTATTTTTTAGCTACTTTCTTAGTAAATTTGTGCTGTCCTGGTCAAAAATTTATTAGGTGCAATTCATCAAAGCTTGTCAGAGAGAGACGTTTGGGTGGATCTTTGGGACTGTGCATCATGACTTTAAAGTACTTTGGCTTTGGGATGTTAAGTGTGGGAACACAGCTGATGACGCCTGTTACATAAATCAAAATGTGTCGATTTTGTCAACGAAAAAGGGTTGAATGTCTGCTAAAGCAATCATTCAAGCCATCTGAAGGCATCACATGAACTCTAATTACAGTAACTATGATCTTTAATTACTGTCAGTAAGTAATGAAGTACGTAAACAAACAAAATGCCATAGTTTATTCCCCAATTTCTGTTCACTAATATTGTTGTCATCTCCTGATATCTCAGACTCTTACTTCCTTGAAACGTTTTTGATTTCCCTTGATCAGTTATTTTAAAATGGATATAATTATTTAAGTTCAGACCAGGAGAACAACACAACCATAAAAAGTACTCTGGTTGCATTGTGTTTCAATGCTTCAGCTACTTCAGTGGACAACAGTATTATTATAACATTCAAAATATTCATGATTCCTCACCAGTTCTGTTTGCTGTATTCTGTATTTTCTTGTTCAACAATATGAAATGTATATGCATGCCTCGACTTGTCAGACTTGTTAGGAAAACTTCTGTGCAGGACAGTTCCATGAATCAATACCAAACAACCTGAAAAGATCCATATTTTTTGAGTATTTTCCAGCCTTCAAAAGGAAACCAGCTGAAGATTCTTGGGTTAAAAAGGTCTTTTCGTACCTGTCGACTGAAAACAGTTTTTAAAAATGTTTTAAAAACACTAGGATCTGGGGCTGTAATTAATGGCATCTAGACAGAGATGTTTGTAGTTGGTGAAAATTGTCACTTTTTCTTATTCACGGGGGTAGGATTTTTATTTTCTTATTTTTTACATTTATTTTGGAAGGGCAAGGATTTAGCTCTTATTAACCGAGCAGGAGGACTGTATGGGAGAATCTTGATCGAGGTCGTGAGTACAGACCGAACGCAGTGAGGTCTGTAAACAGGACCAAGGTCAAGATTCTACCATACAGGCCGACTAAGCTCAGTTAATACGATGTTTATTATAATTATGGCAAACAAGAACAATTTAATTCGTCTAATGTAACTGGTTTGTACTAATTGGCATTTTGCTTGCGAATGGTGATGAACTGAACTTAATTTTGCCAAAGTTTTCTTGTCCTCTTTACTTTTTTTTTTCATCATGCTTTTTCGCATTTCCATAAATAAATATTGTTAGAAGAAAATAGTCAGTATTTTTGCATTTTAGTTTGCAACTTTTCTGCCACAAAACATTACTGGTCTAGATGCTGGTCTAGATGGGAAAATCTAGACCACTTTCAATATCGATTTCAGCCAATCAAATTTGTGAATTCGGTAGTTCCCAGTCCTTGTGAGACACAGCCATATAATAATTTTGAGTATTACCCAACCATATCCCAAGACTTCTGAAGATTTCTGAAGACTTTTCCTTGTCCCAGGCCCAAGATGTGTTTCACCAGACATGATCAAACGTAACTAACAAAAAGTATTCTCAGCACTTTCTCTTGAAAATCAGAGAATCGGGGAACTGTACTTTTCTTTGAAAGAATCAGTTAAGTTCCCAAATATAGCATAAAGTTTTCAGCAAGGTACAAGGAATTGGTATGTACATGTAGGCATGAGAATTGGCAGGTATACACTGTACCATGTATATAACATGCTTTATCAGACTACCACTTAATAAACTTTGTAACCAATTTCTATAGCATGAAAGAACTAAGTAGAAGTATTGCTTCAGCTCAGGATGGGATACTAGTCCATCACAGGCTGCTACATCTGGTTAGAGAAATGTGCAGCAAACTGTGCGGCATTAAAATTTAAGCACTGCTTTGACCAAAAGTGCAGCAAAATCATTGTGATAGTGTCCCTTTCTGGGATGATAAATATATCTGACAGAAATTGCTTACTTAGGTCTTTGTCTTCTTGCTCAAAAATAAGTCTGCATGGACTGCTTGCTTTCTACATATTACATTAGTATTGTGTCAATGACTAACCTTTTTTTGTAAACTGTGGAATGAAGTCCTTGTCATCAAATTCTTCTTTAGGTCCTTTAAAAACGGTTGGGGTACTGTCAGGCTCAGGGTTACATATAAAACGACGCTTTAATGCATCTGACAAAATAATGCAAAAGACATTTTTTACTTAAAAATTGCAAGTGACACAAGGATATAAAAGTTTTGCCCCCTTTAAGTAGGCACATGCTCAAAGTGATACTGCACAATTAAGTGATTCCTTAACAAACTTCCCTCTCCGTCAAAAACAAATTCTGGGCTGTATATTTGCCAAATTTTTCTGATTCATTTTACTGTAGGCATGAGATTTTTAACCTGTATGTCCCAGGATTTTTGAGGATGATTAGACATGATATCTGAGCATGTGACTTCTAAGCATGTTCTGAAGATTTGGAAAGAGGTTCTTAAGATTCTCAGGTCCAAGGTCTCCACGCACATATAACCAGCTTACCTGCACTTTTCTTTCCTTGGACTGGTTGGAGTTGACAATTGGGTCAGTTAAGGCTGTAGTCTATAGCTCAACGTTTTCCAAGTAAGCAATAGAAATTGCCCCAGAGGTATGATATAAGTTCTCAACTGGCAGGCTTGAGAATCACTATGAAGGTGTGAGAGTGTGCTGATATTGAGCGTGCTGTCTGTTTAATTTAGGGATTAAGTTGAGAAATCGCCTGAAATCACTCTCACCATTATGAGATTTGGGAACAAACTGTAGGCAGCCATTTTCCAGAGTGCAATCTTCCAGCGGTATCCATAAACCCAAGGCACTGGGTGGCTCCGTATACAGAAAGGTGGAGTCTCGATGAGGAAAGACTGTTAAAAGAAATATATCAAAGAAAAAGGAAAATACCTTAAAGCTGGACTATGTTAATCCTTGTCTTACCACTGAGTTCAAAATTCACCCTGGCATGCAATATCATTGGCTATGTTCCAATGATTATCCAGTAGATCGAAGTAGGTATCTCATCCGTATACTTTGGGTTCTGTAGCATGAAATCACTGGTCAGAAGTATGGTGGTTATAGTAAGAATCTTGACCATGAAATTAAAAACTGACTTTCTCTATTTAATTAACATTATTTGATGTACAGCTTATTGTGAGGTTTCAATCTGTGTTTAAGACTAAAAAACTGCTGCAGCAGCTGCTTTCATTGAAAGCTGGCATTTTAATATCTACCTAATATTAACGACTAAACTTCTACCAATATACTAATGAAGATGGAACAATCTGATTGGTCAGGCTATCCATAAGTGTGTGGTGCCTGAGGGGTTGTCTGTAGAATGGCGATGTTTTGTTGTTTTTCTGATGTTTTAGAGGAAACTGTAATCTGAAATATTACTGGAAGATTCAATTACCTTAAACTCTAAAAAAAAAGGAAATTGACCGTTATGAGACTTTAAAACATCAAAATTGTTCAGTGAACTGCTGAGCTCATATAAACAGCTGCAAGGTTCAAACAACAATTTAATCTGTACACAATTTTGATAAAACATGAAGTTCTATCATCTCATAGAAATCTTGAACTCAAAATCTAGTTGTTAATGAGCAAGAAAGTCAGTTCCTACCTTCTCCACCAATTCCTGGTTGCTGAGAAATTCAATCAAACAAAAAGAAAATTTAAAGTAATTTATTAGAAGAAATGAAATAAGTAACAAAAAGTTTCAATTGGTAAATAACACAACGGCCTGAAAATTCTGATGGATAACAAACCTGTTCATGTCCTCAGATTGTTTTGCAATCGCCAAACAATAATTTATAATAAAAAGTCTTATTGTGGAAAACACACAATTATAAAGAGCACATCTTCTTAAAAATGGCGAATTACAATGGTAAAGAATTATTCAGACAAAGAAGACTGCTTTGATAATAGTGATTCTGAGGAAACATAAAGAAATCAACATCCAAGTATTAGATGGCAATAGAGTCTACAAGTCTGTCTCCCACAGAGTCTGTCTCCTACAGTTCAATAATTGAACAATAATATATAAAACAGTAATTATTATAAATAACAGTTTTATATTAATCATTTACATACATATGTTACACCTATAGACTAAGTAAAGTCCCGAGATACTTACCTTAAAAATATACATACTCTGTGGGACAACTGGATGTTTAAATCCAATTGACTTGACGATAGCCTGACACAAAGATAAACTCACTGATTACACAACAGGATAAAATAGGTAAATATCACTCAATCAAATTGACAGCATTCACTTTCAATGCAGTTAAATGCACTAATAGTTAACAAAGCGGAGTGCAAGTCTTGCCTTTGCGGTCAGTGATATTTAGATCTGTGCATTGGCCAGGATTCCATGTGTTCTTGTGCCACAAGGAGTTCAAGTAGTTTAACATGGTCAGCATTTTTCCGTGAGCGTCTGAGTCTCAAGCGCAGGGACTCCGCATAGGGGTTGTTTCCCCTCCCCTCGTCCCTCCCTTCTCTTTCCACTGTTTTATCAGTGTGATGGGTGCCCGCTTTCTCCCATCCGCGTGGGGGCTCATGGCTAAGTTGCCAGGATTTACCAGCCATGGGACTCAGCACTCTCCATCTAGGAGCCTGCTGCCAATAGTGGAAGCTCCTGGATGCCTCGGGCACCCAACCTCCACTTCGCAAGGCAGTTGTTAAAGAGAAATTAAAATTTACAAATTAAAATGACCCATTCTTTAGTTACCTCTATTCTCTTGTTGAATGTGACTTTTTTAAACACTGGATTTAAAGCGTGAAGTGCTGATAAGCAATCAATAAACAAACGACTAAGTAAACAAACAATAAAATAAAATTAATATTAAGTAAATAAATGAAAATTTAGAAAGGAAAAATGGGAGGGGGAGAAGAAATAGGGGGAAAATGATTTAAAATAATATCAGCTGATGATAGGAAAAAGGAAACCACATTTTTGAGGAATACAGAATTTCAATTTATAAGCATCTTGTAAAAGAATAACCTTAGAAAATGAGCTAAAAGGCAGACTGTGTTGGTGATCCATACTGCTCGGCTAATCCTTAGTATGAAGTAACAAGTAGTATTGCTACCCCCTGAATGGAACGCTAGTCTGTTGGAGGGTTCTTTGGGAAGGAAAGGTGAGTTCTGAAAGTGAGATTTATGAGTGTTAAAGGCTATATGAGGTCAGTTTTCTGGAGACAAGCACTACAAATTATTGCTAAATAAATGGAAAATCAAATCAGATGGCACATGTTTAACATTGCTAAAATAATCTTACCATGACCAACTTTGTTGATGGCATTATGTTTTTTCACGATAAGTTCACCTACGAAAATAAACAAAGTAAAGATGTGAAAATCCATTTCAGAACATTTTTGGTTATGGTTTCAGTCAATGTAGAAAAAATTCTAGAACTGCATGGAGTGTGAGCATATACAGGTATGTGAGAGAGGGAAACATTCATCACAAGCTGTAAATGTTAAGAAGAATTGAAGGTGTGTAACTTGCTAAGTCAACATCACAGAATTAAACCAGTTTGTTCATGGGAATGGTGATCATGAGTTTTGTCTGGGAACAACCCTGCTCTGTGTGGACACTCAAAGACACACAGATATTACCAGTATTATAACGCCACAATACATGGAACTGTTGGTGATCTTACCTTTATCATTGAAAGCTCCTTCTTCAAAGAAATATCTAATTTTGTCTCCACTTGTCATAAAATAGTCATCTCTAAGCTATAAGAATGTAATTATGAGCAGTGTGATTAGAACTCATTTATGGTAATGTTCCACTGGTGATTTGCTACTATCAATCAGCTCTCTGCAAGTTACTGTCACTATCTTGAATGTCCAGTCACAACAAGAAGTTTAACTTAGCAAAATTCAAAACCAGTTTCTTAAATT